TATATGTATTTATTAGATTGCAACAACTTCTATAGAAGCTAAAAGATTGAAATTACCTCCTGTCAACGTTACAGCCCAAGGCAGATGTACATACCTTTGATAAAACTTATTTGACCTTGTGGAGCAGTATTACCGGATGCATGGTTACTTGTTTTGCTAAAGGTCGTTAGTGTTGTGATTTTAACCTCTTTATTTTACTTATCACTACCATGATCTACATAAGTTGCCCTTATCACACTGGCATTAGTTTGCCAAGATTCAGTGGATTGTTTCATTCCAGGCTCTCTGTCAAATCCCTTAAAGCAAGCAACACCTTTGTTAGTCTGTGCAAAGTGTCTAAAAAAAAGTTGTGTCCCACACACAGGCTTCTTCCAAGAATGGACTTTTTCATCTTGGACAGGTAATCTTGCTCAGTCATGGACAACTCTGTGGACCTCTGCAGACTGAAACACAAAACCTTTCCTGAATCTGCCCTGTCGTCACATCTGTCCTTTTTTACCCTCCGTCAGTTGACTTGGCTTCTATTTGGTGGCAGTAGATGATGGTTTTTTCCCTTGCTGGGTTCACAGGGGGTCTTTTGGCACCCCTGAGGTGGTTCTTTAAAGCCTGTCTATAAATAAAAATCAAATTTGAGTGTGGTTGAACACCTGTGGTACTCTGTAAAAATCATTTTTGACAGTGTTTATGAAGTCTGAATTATCTCAGATTAGGTGATCTAAAGCCAGTGTCCTGCAGCTGTATGACACTATTTTTTGCTAGAAATGTCCTCCAACAATGTTATAATAAAAAAGATAATTAACCATCTATGCTATAAAGTACAAACCTGTAACAAACCCAAAAATGTATGGCTGATTTACAAGATTTAGTAAAAAAATGTATTTTCCTCAGAAATCTACAGGTGTTCATTCATCAGGCAAAACGATATTTTTGGATGGGGCTGACTGGCTTTAATGTTAAATTAATTTTGGCCTTTCTCTCTCTGCTGATAAAAAACTGCTACATGTTTTTTTTTTTTTTTTGGTGCAAGAGGTAATTTCTCTCGACATTGTGGTTTCCCCCTCTTTATCCCTGCTTTTATTTTTGACTCTGTCCAAAACACTTTTATAGAAGCTTCTAAAATGTCTCCTTTTCATTTCTACCCTTCAGACTAGAGATGATTTCCTTGGACAAGTCGACGTTCCTCTCAGTCATCTGCCGGTGAGTAATTTATATCTCTGTGTGTATGTGTGCACACGGGCTGTGTTAACAGCGTTCTGAAGACTCAGCCATTCCTTATCATTCAGTTTTGCTGTGGTTTATTAACCCCCATGAAGCTGGGGTTGTGTGTGTGAGAAAGTGCCTGTCCAGTAGCAAGCTTGTTGTTGTACTAATCTGTTTAGAAATAGAAAGCTGGCACAGGACAATGTAAACACCTGGATTTTCGGTTGTGAAACGTCACCATCAATGGGAAAAAACTTTTCCACTGAGTACTGGGAAACAGTCTTCGAAAACAACATTTAGCATCAGTCTGAGCGGGTTGTTTTGGATTCATGAGACATTTATGCTATTTAACTATGAAATGCTCATCACTCTCGGTTAGGCGATTGTTCAAGATCAGCCCTGCTTTGTTCCTTCTGTCTTCCCCCTGCTGGGAGACAATTGTGATGTTACCCTTCTGAATTAATCGTATAATGTGTTGCCTTCTTTAAAAAGGGTTAGCATAGTTATTAACATGGGAATGTTTTGCATGGGTTTCCAGATGGGGAGTGGTAGCCTACTGGTTAGGGGACAGAGCTTAGATTGCCACTCTTGGTCTTTGAGCAAGACCCTTAACCCCACACTGCTCCCTGGGCGCTGCACAATGGCAGTATTGCAGCAACTTCAGGAAACAAAAAAAAGCTGCTGAGAGGCTGAGGTCGAGCCTTTTCTTCTCTGATGCGCTCGTTCAAAAAAGGAATCCGCTGAGATCAATATGGTGCTGATATGAACTTATTCACATCAAAAGTAAAGGACATGTCCAAAATATAACTTGTCGAAACATAAATTACAACGATTTGTACTTTACGTTCAACAAAAAAACACAGCGGCCCTCTCACCCACTCTCTGCCAGTGACACTCCCACAGGTGAGTAATATGCCCAATTACAAAACTCCCCCCAAATCTAATTGATCCATTCCCTTACAAACAAACAACCAAACTAACAAATAGAAACAAAAGCATAACAGCTATAAACTCAGACAAACGAACATCAAAGCATCTTTTTATTTATGGCTCCTTCAGGCAGACAACTACTTCCCAAGGGGGTGGGTTAAATGCAGAGGTAAATTTCTCCAATGTGAGATCAATAAAGTTCAATTATTATTATTAGGTTACCTTGTGACTTCTGAAAAAATGCAAAAAAACAAAACACAAAATATCTGGATGACATGTTTTTTCTTTATAGAGTAAAGCAGTATGAAAACCCAGATAAAAAAAAACAGTTTAAAACTGTTTAAAAATAAGAATACAATTATCTTGGGTTTAAAAAGGTGGTAATTAGTGTGTAAGTAGCTAATTGTGGCTGTTTTTAATTTATTTTTTTCCCTATGTATATGTTGTTTTATAGCTTTGTGCATGTAGTTATTTACAGTGGTGTGCACAGCTAACCACACGGTTAGCTGTGCACACTGTCATGCACTTATTGTCTTGTGTCTTTGTCTCCTTGTAGTTAGAGAGAATGAAAGTGACACAAACACATGTTGATGTTCGTTTGGAGCTATCAGTTTACTTTAAAGACTGTGGGGCATTTTTCCATCTTCATTAAGTTGAAGAATAGCTGAACACCTTATAACTGCCAATATTAACTACGGTTATTTAACTCAAGTCAGTGTATGAAAATCCCATACCTAAAGCAAACCTATGAGTTAGGGGCCTTTTACAGATCTGACAAGTGTGCTGTCAGCTTTGGTTGTTGCTCAATAGAGTTTTATCTTGGTTTTCAAGCCTGAAAAGTCCATTAGTAGATATTGCTGGGATTAATTATTGATGTCCTGTTTTACTCCCAGAGGTCTTGGAAAATGTTAGCAGATAAAAGCCCCAGCTGAATGATGTTTAAATGAAGGAAGATAATCTGTTTCTATAATTTAGCTAATGCTGTGTATTATTTTAGGTCAGGGAGTTTATGCCTCTATAGAGTTGTTTTCATTCAATTCATTTATATTACACACTGCTGCAAGTTGTTGGAATTTGTATTATTCATAGTTACTGGACTTCTGAAGTCATCTTTTTTCCACTATAGTAGTTTGCCACATATGATGAATCATGATTTAAGACTGACTCATGTTTGGTGGTTCAGCAGTCCTCCACATCACCTATGTTTGCCACATTTGCCTTTTGAAACTTTGATCACTTCTTTAAAGCCTGGCATAAACATCACAGCATTAGATTCTGGGGGAAAAAACATCTTCCATTCAATCTCCCATGATTTTTATTTATAGTTCATATTTTATGTTAGTTAAACAATACACAACAACAAGGTTTTGCTTATTTGACCCCTTAGGTTTGTGGTTTTAACTAAACATTTAGCTGTTTTATGGAAATTTCAGTTTGAGTGAGGAGTCCCTTACAAAGCAGCATATAGTGAGCAAGACAGCATGGCCTGGTATCGCCCTGTCATGGAGCAGAGTGAAATCTCAAAATGATCTGTGACCTTTCTGCTCTCCAGTAGGAAACAGGAGTACCTCAGCATTGCATGATGACTGACTTACAGGGCGGATGTGGCCACAGTTAAAGGTTGATTGTCATCATTTGTTTGTTTCTTAGACCTTCATTTCTCCTTCAATTCTTTTTACAGACAGAGGACCCAGCTATGGAGCGTCCATACACGTTTAAAGACTTCCTGTTACGGCCAAGAAGGTTAGTTTTTACTGAAGGTGACAAATACGTTTTTGCACATAAGTAGAGGAAAAATCTGATATTTTGATGGTTTCAAGAATTCATCAAACTCTTTTTAGACTACTGAAAGTGAAATAATGTCAGAGGCTAATAATGTTGCCTGGAAACTGACCTACATTTCCAACATGTCAAGCTCATGTGTTCGTTCCAGTCATAAGTCCAGGGTGAAGGGCTACTTGCGTCTGAAAATGGCCTATCTGCCCAAACAAGGAGGACAAGAGGAGGAGGCTGGAGAGATGAGGGAAGAGGCTGAGGTAAGGTCTCAGACACTACTGCTGCTAACTTTCTTTTGAACCTGCTGACTCTGCATTATCTAGCTTAGGGCTTTTTGATTTTACCTTTTTTCACAACCAGACAGTGTCTTATTCTCATTCCTTCCTGAATAAGAAAGTAAATGTCCTACTTCAGGCCAGGAATGTCTAGTAATAGTGGGAGGAGGAAGGGCACGTCTGTTCTTTATTCTTCTTTACTGAGAATTTGGGGAAACTTCTCATAGCCAGAATCTGTAAAGTCTTTTCCAGGTCGAGGTCTGGCAGAATCATTTAAAATGTGGGCTGATATTTGCAGAAATAGGAGCTTTGTCTCCTATTTTAAACGTCTGTTCTTCTATGTCTTTGTATGTACTCTAGATATTAAGGCAGTGGAAAGATTTTATGAGGCATTGTAAAAGTATTCACATTTTGTCATTTGAAAAAACCTACCAAGGCATTTCATTTGGTGTTAATGTGAGCGATCTGCAAAAGATTTGCTTAATTGTAGATTAGAAGGAAAAGGAAATTTGACCTCAAAGATTTCAAAGCTATTACAAATAAAAAATCTGCAAACTGTGGTGTGCGTATGCATTCAGTCCCACTAACTCGGCTACATAAAGAAAAATATTTAGTCTATGTAAAGTGATCTTCTATGCAAGAAGAGCATTAATCAGATTAGAAGCAAAGGGAGCCATAGGGACCTCTCAGGGCTGTAGAAAGCCACAGCTTAGATGGAATACTATTGGAACAATATAACAATCTGCTCTTTACAGAGGATATTAGCAAGTACATTTTTCGATCTATTGTTGGAAGCAAGTCAAAAGCAATCCTGTTTGTCATACAGAAGCAGTTGCTCTGTTCAGATCGGTTGTTTGAAGTTTTTAGCCTCTGTGTTAAATGCTAATTTTGGATGGAAATAACAATTTCCTAAAAGTCGTTTCAAGGCCCCTATTTCCTCAGCAAAAGCTGAAATGGAATGGCTTAGATCAGGAGTCTGAAGCACCGGTCCTAATAATAAAGCATCATCTTCCATTGTTAGCAGTATACTCTGCTCATCCAGGTGTAATCAGTTGTTTATTACATACAGATGCTGTAAGAGAGATGGACAGCTCCTCTCTGAATGGCCATCTGCTTCTTACTTTTCATCCAAAGTGACTTAGAACAGAGGATAAGCTGCTGTAACTATTAGTCATGCACACAATATGCAGTCTGTCTGCGCAAATGTTTGTGATTTATGTCGCTGCTTCAGTGCCAGACCTAAAGTGACTTCATAGGAAGTGTGTCTCTGCGTGTGTGTGTGTGTATATGAGCTATACACAGGTGATGTTTTGCTTTGACCATTCAGCAGCCTGCACTATTTCCATCCTACCTTCTGGCATGAATTCAGTTTGCTTGGAGGTTTAGTTGAAGTGGTGCAAAGATTAGTTTCAATTACAAGTTACAATGTGTAATGGAAAACCAGAAATTACTATGGCCCTATGCAGTCATACCGTACAGTGTCTTGCTATGTGATTCAACAGTACTTTTCCTTCGGACAAGTAGATGTTTAAAGTAGGGTTGTAGGTATCTTGGCAGCTACTTTCAAAACAGAAGCCCAGTAAATATCATGCAGATCATTTCGAAGCATTTAAAAATATGCACCTGGTCATACCTACGATGTTTTTTTTGACGCTTCAATTAATCTCCTCTTTTGAGCTAGATATTTCTTTGTAAGATTATCATAGTCCATGGCATCTTTTCCTTGAGTTTTTAAGTTTAAAGGAATTTTTTATGGATTTTATTTCAGGGTTGGGATGAGTCTGCAGATTCAGGCTCCCAGAGGCCCCAGCAGCTGCTGCCTCCTTTGCCTCCAGGCTGGGAAGAAAAAGTGGACAACCTCGGACGCACTTACTATGTCAACCACAATAACCGCACTACACAGTGGAAACGGCCTTCCAACGTGTATGTTTGATTGATTTTATATTCAAAGTGTAAAAGGAAACGAATGCAGTTGTCTACTGAGATGTTTTGCCTATTGTTGTATATTGTTGACCCCTCTTACAATTTCTAATACCTCTATCTATGAATGAATGGAATATTTTGACAGTTTCATTGGGTGTATCATCACATAAGAAATTCAAAATGTGAGCGAAGAGTAGTTTAAAATAATGACATGCTTTGAATAAAACTACCGTTGTATTTATTACGTGTGTGCACTTCATAGCTGTTTTTAATCTATTGTTGATCCTCTTTTAACATTTCCTAATAATTTAAAGGGATGTAATCTCAGAAACTGAGAGTGACAACCAGCAGCGGCAAATAAATCAAGAGGCACATCGTGTTTTCCGTTCACGCCGTCACATCAGCGAGGACCTTGAGAATGAGCGGCTGGACTCCAGGGACCTTGACAATGTGAGAGAAAAGCCTGCAGACATGCCCATTAAAATCCATACACCAGAGCTACAGCTATATTGACTGACAAAAAAAATAAAACGTCTTTTCTCATTGTTCCTCCAGTCCTGGGAGCTCATCACCGAAGAGGATCCCAACGAGAGCCTTGCCCAGCCTTTGCCAGCCCCCGCCTCCATTTTGACCCCACAGCAGTCCCCAACACCTGCTGCTCAGGAGTTCTCTGAAGATTTAAACCTAAGGCTTTCAATCACCCCTGAAACAAATGGTGAACTGCCAGGACCCAGCTCCTCTCTGGTAACCACCATTCATTTTGTTCTGTCAGAACCTAAATTATGTGACTTAACTCTGATTGTTTTCTTTTTCTCCAGCCAGATTAATTTGCGGGGGATTACTCATTTTTTTTGTTCCCACTAACATTATGTCCATCTCCCTCCTTACTTTGAACAGAGCCAGCTGTCAAACAGACTCCGGTCTTCAAGTATGACAGATGGTGTCAGTGATCAGGCCCAGGCTCCTCCTCTAACGGTACATATATGCCACCTTTTACATTCCCTACATCCTTTTTCCTTTAATCCCTCACCTCTCCTTGTTTAATAAACTGGTCAAATTCTCCTGATTCACACCTAACTTCCCCGGGTGCCCCATCTATTTATCTTTTTCCTATTTTCCCCTTTTTCAGTACCTTTTCATATAGGACAGTTGTGACATCTTCTTTCTTATCTATAAAATTTAATCTCTTTCTGCCTCACTGCACTTTTCTGGTTTTTTAGGGTAACCACACCTCTTCCTACGCATTCTCTGCTGTTCTTTTTATGATTCATATGCACTTGTGTTTGGTCTGCAGTTGAGATCTCAAGTTGGATCTCCTGATAGGTAGAAGGGATTGTTGACAGCAGCACCAATTCAAGTCCTATTGTGTCACAACATCACTCACTGCTGAGTTTAACAAATTGTCATACGATCTGAATCAGATGTGGGCAGCAAAGCTGAGTCACAGCGTTTAGTGTTTGCTTTGTCAGGTCAATGAAATAACAGGTGCAGATGTTGCTTTGCTCATGAACTACAAGGTTTATTTAAAGGCTAGGGCACTACAATCAGTGCGGACACATTTATAATATATTTACTAGTTGTACAGTAGTTGTGTCTTTTCCAGCCATTTAGTGATGTTTATTACTGTCCAACTTAAACAGTTTTGGTTCAAGTAATCCTCATTGCTTTACAATTAAGTTGCACCATTCATAACTTGTGGCCTATAGCTGACCTCTAGTTTTGTAATGCGTGACCTCCTGTTTTTAGTTCATTCCAATAGCTGTTTGGGAGCTTAAATATAAATTTGAGAACACTATTGAAAATGCTTTTTTACCTCACTGCCCTGAATTCTTATTAGTTATTTAATGTAGGAGCAGATATGAGAACACGCTGTTGTGTGGTCAGAAGCCTTTTTCTTTATTAAAACAAAAAGATGACAAAGACTTTTCTCAAACTATCCATATCATTGTACTTCAGCTACTGCTGCAGTTAGCATAGCTAGTTTCTTTGATTGAGCTTTCTTTCTGTGCATTTTGGTAGAAGATGTAGATCCTCACTTTAATAAGATTTGAAGGCTATCAACAATTTCAAATCCTGCATCTCTCCTGAAAGATGGAATGAAATATATACGTGAATCTTCATATTGTCTACTGAAAGTCTTGCTCTCTCTCTCACCCTGCTACAGCTTCTGCTATCTGTTGACATTTCTCAACATCAGCGTTCTTGTAAACCCATGTCAAAGTAACGGGCCAATATGCTGACAGTTGTCAGTTGGCAACCATCAGATGTCGACTGACATCTGGGCTCTCCTCCTGGGGGTTTTTGGGTATTTCAGGCCAAAATCTAGATATTTGTACCAAAACGGTTGAAGGTGGCTTTAGATAATAAAAAGCTAAACATTAGTTCTCAGGTTGTGGTTCCAAATCTGTTTACAATAGCTTAACAGGATTAAAAATCCTTGATGATTCTTGCACCTTGCTTAGTCAGTTCACCGTTTGTCAGGAAATGGTCACAGTTGTCGTGGTACAGATACGTCTTCCTTAAATACCACCGTTTTACCCACATTTCCTCTTGATTCTTTTAAAAGCACTAGATATATCTGTTATGCTTTTTGTGAGTGTGCACATCAAATCTCTTCACTGCTCTGATATCTTGTAAACAACACACATTTTCCCTGATTAGTGTGGCTGTAGTGTACTTTCATTCCTAGACTTCATTAAATGAACTGCACTGACTCAGAAGGAAATGCACTCATCAGGGAAAATGTGTTCTTGCTTCCAACAGATGAAAAAAGAAAAAAACAAACATCACTTTGCTAAACCTCCTTCTGAAAGTACTCTGTTCTATGAATTAGTCACAACACTTTCACGGGCTCTGCACTTGAATGAGTCTCTTTTTCTTCCACTCTTCACCATCCTTTGAGAACCAATTTCCCTTCTTCCTCAACCCAATAAATACCCCTCAATCATGCCCAAATATCTCCCTCCCTCCTTCATTTTCAATCTCCCTGTGGAAAAAAGTATAAACTAAAGGCAATGTTCCCTGTCTACCACCAGCAGGGTTCCCAGACCAGAAGAACAAGAGCTCAAACAGTCTCAGGTGGTGAAGAGCCCATGGTAATATCTCAGTTGTTCAGTTTAAAGTATCCTAAACTTTGTGCAGGGTAGGATGTTTCTTTCTTTAACCAAATATTTTCAGTGCAAAATCCTGACTCTTAGTCTTGTAAATAAATAAATCAGCACTGCACACCTTCTACCTGAAAGGAGCAGTCTATAAAAAGTCCTTCATTGTGTGAGACTACAAAGAGGCCTTTTATCACAGATCTTTCATCTTTGTTGGTTCTGTTTTCCTGATAACGCCATATCATACACTAGAACATTGTTGTCTCTGGTGAAAAGGGGCAATTTTTTTATGATTATAAGATACAAAATTATTACTTTGCTGAAGATAAACAAAAAGGCTCTTTTTGTTATATGTCAATGGTTGATTTTTTTTTTCTACTCCTCAGCCATAATGACCACAGGTTCATTTCTTGAATAAGCATTCAAACTTTTTGAAAGGGAAGGGCAGTATGAACCTAACATTTGAATCACCAAGCTTTTTTTCCAGGACTGATGAAATTAATAAATTGTTGTAACATTTTCATAATTCTTCAGTCTTTTCGGCAAAAAGATCTGACATTTATCCTACTTAGCACCCTTAAATGCTAAAAGTAATTTAGAAAAATAAAATCTTCCAAATAAAAAAGGGTCTACATTTGTCCACCAGTTGCTTTAGTCTACTTTTGCAGCTAAACTGCACACAATAAATGTAGCTGATACTAGATTATCTTTGAATTTATTGATGTTCTCATTGAAAACTACAGTGAAACGGCTTTAAAGTTTGCAACAATAAGTAATTTTTTATTTTAATCATAAACTGCAAATTTTTTTAAAGAAGGGAAAATTATTTTTCGTTTAAAAGACTTTACAGATAATTATCTGAAAACTGTGGAACACAATTCTGTTTAGGTCCCCTTTGAATAGTTTTAGAGTCACGTTAAGCTGAACTAATGGCTACAAATGTTTATTCATTTTTTTGGTATTGGCTTTGTTTGCAAAAACAGCTAAAACTCCGATTCATCTGATAATGAGTCTCTATCGCCGTTGAGGCTTGCCAAAGATTTTTATTTTGGTGTGTTTATGGACTTTGAATTGGCCCTTTTCCACATAAATATTCTTTGATAAACTATAACTAATTAATTGTTGGTATTAGGAAAAAAGAGAGTAAGCTTATTTTTATTTGTCAACCAAATTGGAAGGATCTTTTAGTTCCCTTTCTCTTCATAATTAGATGCTACTATTTGTTGGTCTCATTCATTAAAGCCCAGTGAAAACCATTGATGTATGTAATTGTAATGGACCCTAATGCAGAAAAATTGTCATCATGAATATATTTACAAGGTACTTCTTTCATTGTGTTTCTGCAAAATAGTTGATGTTTGTGTTGATGTTTCACTTGGCCTGTTTTTCCTTTTGTTATATAAACCAGGAGAACAATATCAAATGTGTTTTTCTAACAAATTGTTTAAAATGACCCACTAATTATTTGGAACATTGTTTTCTATCATATGCATTTGACCATTTATCAACATTCCCTGCACACACCTTTGGGTTTTTCAAGCTTCTGCTGATGAGCTGTTTTTGGTTTGCTCTGTCTCCACACTTGATCAGTCCCCCTCGGCAGCTCCCTACGCCTTGACCACCCCCGGTCTGCCCCCTGGATGGGAGGAGAGGAAGGACGCCAAGGGAAGAACTTATTACGTCAATCATAACAACCGCACCACTACTTGGACTAGGCCAATTGTGCAGGTACAGCAGGTCAGAAGGCTGGCGGTCGGGCCAGCTATATGCATGGGACTGGACCTAACCTTTTGTGGCATTAATCTGTGCGTCCCTCTGTCCCCCTCTGTACTTTTCCTCTGTGCGGCACAGGGTTTTAAACCTGGAACCTCCTATTCTGTTGTTCCTTCTGTCCAGTTTCCTGCTTTGGTCAGCTCTGTGTGTCTCCTCATCTCTTGTCCATTTTGAATTGTCTCTCTGTATTGTTCACAGCTTTCTGAGCCCTAGCAGGGATCTATAACTACCGCTGTTTCTTCCTTTTTACCACCTCTACCCTGTTTTTTTCTGTCTGAACTGATGGTATGCTTCTGCTGCTCATATCCGTCTTCTTTAAAATTGAGTTTTTCTATAAAAAAAAAAAAACTGAAAACATGTCTTACACATGCTAGTCACCACATTGACATTATGTAAATCTCATTTCTTAATGTTTTTGTTCAGAAAAAGATGATCAAATGTTTGTCCCCATTTTCTCTCTGGAAACTCGATTTTTGCTGTTTGTATATAGCAAGTCGTAAATCACTCTTTCCTCTTGGACCTGAATGACTCTTCCTTTTGAGGTTTTCAGGAACGCATTTCCTGAGTGTAAAGTTGGCATCCAGAATGTTCCACCGCAGACAAGCGTACTTGACCAGATCCCTCATGATTTATTCTGTCAGGCAACATCTCTTCCTTTAATCCCAACCCCACTTAACCTCAGAAGTACCGTTTTCACCAACAGCTGACTGAAGATGGAGCCAGTACCTCAGCAGCAGTAGCATCAGGGGCATCCTCGGCCCTAGTACCAGCTTCCTCCCCTTCCTCATCCTCTTCCAATGCTTTCAACCACCACCTCCATGAGCCTCAAGTCCGACGACCTCGTAGCCTCAGCTCTCCCACTGTCACCCTTTCCACCCCCTTGGAGGTGAGAATTAGAAACCTCTACTACCTTCTGCCCTCTTTTTTCCCTCTTCCTCTCCTCTACCTTCTTTTCTGACCATCCATAGTATCAAAGTTGTTCTCTGTTAGCTGTTCCTGGTTTGGCAATTTACTTCTTGTTTTTGGCAATCCATTTGGAAATCAATATTTCTCAGTTGCGGTCGCATGGATGATTTTATGTCTTATGCTTCTGTTTTTTGGATTCATCACTTAGAGGGGATAGATGATGGCTGCAGGAGTTTAATGGTTTTTTTTCAAGGTGGTTTTTCTGCAGATGTTTAATTTGTGAGATGCTAAAAAATGTCACTAAAATGGGTAAAAAATATCCAAGCTTTATTTTAGGTTTATCTGTTTATTTAATTGCTGGGATCTGATGTTAAGCTTGGCTGTTTTTAACAAGTCTATTGAAGGCTTGTATTTTGCACGCCTGTAATTTTTGCTACCTGCTTCATTCAACAATGCAGCATTAGTCGTCTATCAGCTTTCGACAGGTTGCAGGTTATAGTAGATCTTGGGTTGTTTTGCAACCATCTCTCTGAATTAAACCTTGGTAAGAGCCCTGATGTTACAATAGGGAAAACAGATGCAAAGGATCGTTAAAAATGAAATTCACCTTTAGGTTCAATGTTGAAGAACATATGGTATTGAGCTAGCAGCTAGATCTAACATAAACAGATCACAGATAATCAAAGTATACAAAAGTTCAAAGTATCGGTAATACTGACTGGTTGGAGACTTTCTAAACATAGAAATATATTTGTAGAAAAAGTTATCTCCACATACAGTATTGGGTCACACTACCTGATCTATGACTTTTGTTGGTAAAATCACTTCAAAGGTTGCAATTGTATTAAGTCTGGTGTAAAGAAGCTATACTGACCTGCAGAGTTGTGACCTTATTCTTAAATAATCCCTTCAAGATTAATCAGTGAATGATGCAAATCTGGTTTTCATATCCAACCATAAAAACACATTAAAATCTTGAAAAAGATAACATTAAAATAGCCATTTATTCTTTCAAACTCTCTGGAATTACAGCTTTTGATATTTTTTAAAAAGTGTGAGTTTCTGTTACAGCAAAAACAGAATCTAATTTTAAGACTTTTAATAATAAAAAATTAGCAATTTTTCTCTTTCTACATCAAATTAAAGGAAAAAGGAAGAGTTAAAATTTTTAAATTTAGTATCTGTGATAAACTGTTCTTTTCTACACAGTTATTATGGTTGACTAAGCTCACAGGATTTTTTAGGAAGTTGAAAACAAAAACTGAACGTTTGAAGTGACTTAGTTTACGGTTTATAAACAAAGTCGAAGTGTTTTAATAATCAGTCATTCTTCAAGTAAGATATCTCACCTTCCTGTTTTGACATTTTTTTAGTACCTGGATCGTGCAGACGACTTTATAAAGTTGAAAGTTTATTCTTATGCTGCTGAAAGCAATAAATGTTCCTGCAGTTAATTTATTCTGAATATTATAAACTCATTATGCTTTGAGGAAATAACTATAGAGAGAGCAGAGCTAATTAAAAACAGCACACCTTTTGGCCCGACGCTGCTGTTAACGACTCCACTCACTGGGTGAAAATCATTTGTGGTCGCCGAGGGAACAGACCTGGGAAAAAAAAAAGTTTAATAAAGTGTTTGAACGCATAGTGCTCATGGAGGAAGTAACGGAAAACACACCCTCAGAAATGTGCGTAATTACAGCTTTCAGGCGCATTAATTAATTCAGCTCTTCTTTTTTTGTTGGAAAAAAAAGGTGATTTCTAAAAGCAAATCTCAGACTCCTTTGTTTTGCTTCCTTACATAAATTATGCCCTGTGTTTCAAACTCTATCTTAATCTATTTTAGCAGCTTTTTGTTCCCAGTCTCTGCTTTTATTGGTGAATAACTTGTTTTTCACCTTTTCTGCTAGGGTGCCAACAATATCCAGGTGCGGAGGGCTGTTAAAGACACCCTGTCCAATCCTCAGTCTCCTCAGCTATCGCCTTACAGCTCCCCAAAAACACAACACAAGACCCAGCAGAGCTTCCTGCCCCCTGGCTGGGAGATGAGGATAGCCCCAAATGGACGGCCTTTTTTCATCGACCACAACAGCAGAACCACCACCTGGGTGAGAGAACACACTGCATCTACTGCTGATGTAATATCCAGAAATCTGGAACTTAGAAAGATCTAGGGCAGATTCTAGCTTCGTACATATTGACATCTAGTGGTTTAAAAGTGAACTGCAATATGACTGCTTCATGAGAACTAAGGTTTGCCTGACAGTTATCAGCAATCACTAGAATAATGGGATAGCTTTGATAAAGAAATGGGCTGCCTAGTTATGCAGCGGGTAGCACTGTTGCCTTGCAGCATGAAGGTTGTGCAATTCCCAGCCTGGGGTCTTTTTACATGGAGTTTGCATGTTCTCCCAAAGCATGCATGGGTTCGCTACGGGTACTCCGGCCTCCCACAGTCCAAAATCATGACTATTAGGTTATTTGGCTTCTCTAAATCCCCCTTAGGTGTCAGTGTGTGTGTGAATGGTTGTTTGTCCTGTTTGTCTCTGTTGCCCTGCGATAGACTGGCAACATGCCCAGGGTGTACCCCACCTCCCGCCCATTGACAGCTGGAGATAGGCACCAGCACCCCTCGCAACCCCAGGAGGGATAAGAGTGAAAGTGGAAAATGGATGGATGATAAATAAACATTTATTTAAAAACTGGCAAACATATACTAATAACGTTTCCTCTTTATTGATCTGTTCTCTGCTAGGAGGACCCCAGGTTGAAATATCCAGTCCATATGAGGAATAAGAACTCGATGGAACCTGGTGAACTTGGTCCTCTCCCTGTAAGTTTCTGTCAAATGTTAAAGAATAGCTCAATTATACACATAACTGCCTCACTTGCAGCTTCCTCTTTGTTTATTGGCACCCCTGGTGAAGAACAGCCTTTACATAAAATTCATCATATATTTAAGAAGCATAATCTCACTAGAGCTGCAAGTAACGGTTGTTTTTCAAATTGAATAATCTGTTGATGATTTTTTCGATTAATTATCCATTAGCAAAAAAGTTCCTCAAAGAAGACTTTTACAAAATTAGAACGGGTGAAACTAAAACATTTCCACTTGAGATCTGGATAGAGCAGACTGACAGACGAAAAACTTTTATCTTAAATGCAAAATGTTTACATATTTTCTTTTACAATTTTGGTTTAATTGCTGCTCAAGCTGGCTTCCTGTCAGCTAAAGGAATGTTTTAGAGTCTCTCTATCACAGTTAATGATCAGTCGAAATTAGTTGACGATTATTTCAATAATCGATTATCACGATTTGTCCGATTAATATTCTTAGCCTTAAATCTCACAAAACGTCTCAGATATAAACATTATTTCTAACACCTCCACTCCTCATCCGCTCACATTAACATGCAACTCAGTTTTAGCACTTACTTATTTTCGTGAGCATTTCTAAAGATCGGGCTATAAAGGGAAGCTGGTTAGTCTTATACGGTATAGTTGTCGCGGTGTGGGGCTGAGTGAGCAGCCTAGATGCGTTTCAATCTGAAATTTAGGGATTCAATTCCAGTTTTATCCTTCATTTCAGTTGTTTTGCATGTTTTAGCTGGTGCCCAATTAGGTTTCAATAATTAAAGATGTTTTTTTTTTTCAAGAATTTAAAGCAAAGAAACATTGAAATAATTATTAATCTTTATTCTTTTTTTTTTCAAATGGATCATGATTAGATGCTGTTTTTGTTTAGATGCTCCTGCTGCTATAAAGGTGATTCATTTTGAATCTTATTACACATTTTTCCCCAGAGGTGCCAATAGTTCTGAAGGGTGCTTAAAAGAAAGATTATTAGATAATTATTAATAAAGCTTTGTTTTTCTTTTCTCGGGTTTTCCATTTTTAGACACCTTTGAATGTTTTTCTTTTGCTTTCCTGGTCCAAGTTTAAGCTGGCTTACAACAAAACACCTTATCTTGAAGGATTTCTGTGTGGTTGGAGTTAAATTATTGATTGGTGCTCTGCTTTCATCTACTAGTCTTCTTCGTTCTGCTAAAACTCATTAACAGATTTATGCATAAACATGCACTTAGAATCAGTAACCTGCGGTAGCAGTGTTGCCTAGAAACCCTGCTGTTTTAATGATGGTCAAGCTTAGCAATGTTCATTTGGGTTGATGGGCCAACATTTAGTTAGGGATACTGATGTTACTAAGTGAAAACTTTGTTTATCTCACAGGTTTGTGTGATATGTGTGCATGTGTGTGTGTTCTTTCTCTTTCCTTTCTCTCTTTTTTTCTTTCATTCTGATGGATCTAATGTTTGCTACTTCTTCTGCACCCGGCCATATCTGTTTGGCAGAACCTACCAGAGGAGGTTGGTTGGCGCCTCCCTTCCTCTGCCTGCCTACCGACCCTCCTGTCTGATAAATCGCCTGCAGACAGCCTTGCAGATATTCTTTATTTTTCCCTGGTTCTTTCTCTTTTTTTTCCTCTCTTGTGGTCGGCATGGATGGATTGTGCCTCTCCTATCCTTTCAGTATTTTTCCCACTTCGTCTTTCCGTCAGCACCATTACTACACCGCCACTACACCTTTTTTTTTTTTTTTTTTAAACAATTGGTTTGTAGCTCCAAAAAATAGACGTTATAAGGGATTCTTTAGCCTGCTCCATGTTTGTTTTCCTGCATTGGCATCCAAGATGCAATTACACACGTCTGTAAAGCAAAATAAGCAAAGGTCTGGAAAAAATGTTGACAGAGAAGCTAACTGAAGGAAGAAAAGAAGTGAAAAAAGGCAAAAGCTTTCCAGAGCAGCAGAGGAAGGAAAAGGCTGTATGCAGCATGTGTTAACAGCTCCTGTATGCCCCCCTCACTCATCTAGCAGCAGCATTATTTTAAAACACACAACCATACATCCTGCAACAGCGACTCAGTTCCTTCCTCCTATCATTGCTTTGAATCTACTGTAACTGTTTGACTGCCTGATGGCTGGTGTGTGGCCTGGGACACCGTGCACCAAGTGCTTACCGCCTTAGTGGTGGCACGCTGGCTTGTACCAGTGGCGAAGGTTTGAATTTCTGTTGTGGTCATCCCCCTGCGCCACCTTGCTGATGCGTTTAGACTCAAATAGGGCAGGGAATCCTTTTATTTCTCTTGCTGTGTCTGATTGAGCTTGCCTCACCTGCAGTGCTGTGATCTCAGTGTTTTAATCTTTTCATGATATGGCCAGCTCAATTTGAACAACAACCAAGAAGGAAAAATAAATGGATGGATAAAAAAAAAGACTATTTGAGCTTTTGTTATGTTGTCTGATGTTTTCCTACCTCATGTTTCTTTTTCACTCCTCTTCCAGCCTGGATGGGAGGAAAGGGTTCACACAGATGGACGCACTTTCTACATTGACCACAGTAAGGTTACACCACTCTCTTCACTGCTTTAATGCTTATATTCACGCTGTATCTGAGGTACATTTTAAAAACATTAAGAACTTTGACAATAATACTTCTGTTTATCAGCAAGTTTTAGATTTATTTATTTTTTTTGTGTGTGCAGCATTCACTTCCAATGCCTCCAATGCCTTTCAACCTATTAAATATAGGCCTCCCAGTTGTATTAAAGCCCCTTTCTTTCAGATGATCCCTAAATAGAACTCTGTTCCACCATTTTAAATATATAATTAATGTATTTCAATTATATAAGTAATATTTTCTCTTGATATGGGCTGGTAAGGAAGACAACTGGAATAAGATGATTTACGTTAAAAAAAAGAAAAAAACTGTTATTGTTTTTTTTAAGGATATAATATTGATCTTATTTTAAGGGCAAAATATTAATTTCATTGGTACCTTATTGGTGTTAAAAAATTTTTTATCTTCATTTTTTTTTTAAATCTTATTTTAGATCAGTTGTTGCTGGGTGAAAAGCTCAGAGATTTTTTTTTGAGGACATTAAACAACAAAAAAAAAAATACAACAAATACCAAAAGCTCTAATACTGCAGCTCCTCTTGAACACCAAATACCCAAAAAGAGACAAGGTGGTGACAACATCAGGATGTTGGATTGTTTTTTTCTTTTTAGTTGTTCAAGGGGTTTCAAAGCACCTGCAAGGCACATTAAAAGCATCTCTTAGAATGTATTTTTTTTGTCATTGCCTTGAGTCTTAAACAACACTAAAAATGTTCTGCCTATTTTACCCAGATACGAAGACCACGCAGTGGGAGGACCCTCGTTTACAGAGCCCAGCGATCACAGGGCCTGTGAGTAGCTTTGCATCTTCCTTATCTTGCTTATAGGTCACAACAATGTCAGGAAAAACTGCAAAGCAGTTTCATATGACGTGCACTTTTCTCAGCCTCATCAAAAATGAATCACTTTCTAACTGCAGTTGTTATTTAATATAAAAATACAATTGTCTTCAGAATAAAATCTTTTTAAATTATTATTTAATGTTTAGTCTGATGTCAAGCACTTTATTCACACCTGTTTGTTCTCTTTGCAGGCTGTTCCTTACTCTAGAGAGTTCAAGCAGAAATATGACTATTTCAGGAAGAAATTAAAGAAACCGGTAAGAAAAAATGATCTACATTGGGAACGAAACTCTGTGACTTCTCCTAGCGTAGGAAGCAGCTCTAATAGGAATGGATTGGCTTCCATTACCAAGGTTTAAAGATGGTATCAAGTTTAAAGAAATATACAGTTCATACAATGGAAACCTCTTTAAACAAGGAGCCAGAGGAACCATCCTGGCTGAGAGCCTGCTACTTTCCATTGCGTACAAGAAAAACACTTTTAATTATGGTTGGTCCATTTTATGTAAATAGCAAGAGATAAATGTTATAAATCACATTATTAAATGTAATAATCAGTGTTATTGTAGCCGGGGAAGTAGCCGAATCTATGTTTTGTGGGGGAAAAAAAACATTTCTGTTGCAGACCATCATATAATAGGAATTTTTGTTTGGAACATTTTATAATTCTAAGTAGCTAGTGGTTTATTTGATTAAAGATATTAAAAGTATAGCTGTTTTTTTCTATATTGCCATTTTCTTATTCAGCACTCTTCACCTACTTCTTTATTGGCCTATTAGTATATTTTAGATAATTAGAACCTTATTAAATTGATGCTTGTGTCAAAAATGTATTTATTTTTTTCTCTAAAGCATTTGTTTGTTGTACAAACATCTTCTCCCTTCTGTACCAGGCGGATATCCCCAACCGATTTGAGATGAAGCTACACAGGAACAACATCTTTGAAGAGTCCTACCGTCGGATCATGTCCCTGAAGAGGCCCGATGTTCTAAAAGCACGATTATGGATCGAGTTTGAATCGGAGAAAGGATTGGACTATGGTGGCGTAGCCAGGGAGTGGTTCTTCCTCCTGTCTAAGGAAATGTTCAATCCGTATTACGGCCTGTTCGAGTACTCTGCCACGTAAGCCTCTTCTTATTCTATAGAGGACACTCAAGTCCTTGTAACACCTCAGTACACAGAGTTTTGTCAAATTTAAATAGCAGCATGATGCGGTTGAAAATAACCTCTTATCCTTGTGTGTCGGAGACAAGGTGTACCAGTTTTCCCTGCTGTTCTCTTTTTTTCCCCCGTGAGACCTGTAAAGGTTTCCTTCTACTGTGATTAACTTTTCCTCGTATTCAAAAAGCCATCCTGAGGCAATGTTTCCCACAAACATGATAATAAAAGTGCCGTATGCTATGTTCTTTTCTGGGCACCATCATCATCATCATCATGCAATGACGCAACTCTGCCTTGTAAAATAACAAAGAGGCCGTAAAAAACCAACTGTTCTTGGAAAACAAGTATAATAATTAATGTTCAGACTTTTAATGAAAAAGCTTTTTAGTAGCTTATCAAATTGAAATTAATGTTTGAATTTGAACTCCATCTCAGGGTAGCAGTTTAAAAGCATTGATTGATGTTTTACTTTAATTTTTTTTATTGGATGAATCCAGGAATTTGTCTCCTTTTAAACAGTGAGAGTTTTATATAGAACATAGTCAGGGTTTAAAAAAAAAAAGACGTATCTAAACATGTACTTGTTGCTTTGCACTTCTCTCCTGTCTTTATTCAGGGACAACTACACTCTCCAAATCAATCCAAACTCTGGCCTCTGCAACGAGGATCATCTTTCCTATTTCAAGTTCATCGGTCGTGTTGCAGGAATGGCCGTGTTTCATGGAAAACTGCTGGATGGTAAAATATTTCATTCTACAGTTTCTCTAGTACAGAATGTCCCTCTCCAAGATTTTATTTCAACTTCACAAAAGAAACTTATAAATAATGAGGAAATTGGCACCACTGAGTCCCAGTTTGATACCTTATTGTAATTAATATTGGGTCATATTAAATCGTTTTGAACTTTAAATAATAGCCTTGCCTGCCCGTGTTTTCATTCAGAGGAACCAGCGAAATGTTACTTTATCCCCTATTTCTTTTCTTCCTCTATGCTTTATAAAATCTTAGGCAGCCCTAATGTGACATTGTGAATAAATATCTTCTGATTTTCCTCATATTGCTCATAAGCCAGAGAGCCAGTACACCCTGAAACCAGCTTTTATAACCAGTTTAGATCAATTAAACCCAGCCTGATGCTTTCAAGTCCCTGTTTCTGTTAATTATATATATTTTTTGCATCCAGCAAATAACTCAATTAGAAGTTGTAATAACATCAGACCAATCCTAAATTAATTTTAATATAGATATTTAGTCTTAATGAAAAGAGCTCAATCTTTTGGTACACATATTCTTATTTTACTTTATATGCACTTAAAAACATTATTTTATTGGTATTACACTAACCCAAAAATGGCTTTGAGGACATTGTCTGTTATTCATGATTACCATTTATACTTTGTCTTGACTGTGGCTCCTGCAGACCAGGCATGGAATTCTGCTCCACCATAGCGTTTAAAATCTCCTGTAATGATCTTAAGAACAGTATGGTGTTGTGCTAAGCTAATCTTAGCATGTCAACTTCTTTTGTTTCTAACAAACATGCCAAAAGTATTTAGCCACCGATCTAAAACATTTGATTTAGATGTTCCAGTAATTTCCATGGTCAAAGTTAAACAGACCTTTTCTACAAACATCTGTAAAATAGATGGGTCGTGCTCAGGAGGTCAGTGAATTCCAATTATTATTTTTTCTCTGCTAAATATTCTCTGAGCTATATTTTAGCTCAGTAGAAATAACAGCGATTGACAGCAACTCAGCCATAATATTGCAGGCCACATAAAATCATAGAGCTGCATCAGAGGATGCTGAATGATCTGTAAAGTGCACATCTGCAAACTCTAGAGGTGGAAAACTGTTCTCAGGATTGACCGCTTTGGTCCATTTCGGGCAAATATTAAGGTTGTTGAAGGCAGTTGGGCTCCCCTGCCTCAGCTCCATTGAATCTGCTCCAAATACTTCAGCAAACCAAGAAAATGTAAGCTATTTCATTCTCCAAACATTGTTGGAAATGTTTGAATTTAACACCTTCCAGTTTCAGTGTCAAATATTAGTAAGCAATCTGGTGTGATAGGACTTGACTGACCTGAACAGATTCCTGACCTGAGCCTGAGACAAGGTCTCTGGAATGAGATAGAATTGAGAAATCATCAACTAAACACAAAGATGCTTCTTGGAAGAATGGTCAGAAGCGCCCATAAACACCTATGATGGCAATCCTAAGAGTTTAAGCTACAATAAGGGCATGGGAAAATGTTATGAAACTCTTTAGAATAGGAATCAGATGTTACTCAAGTTTTATAATATGCAGAAGACTGATGCTTTAGGAAGTAAAGTGCATTTTAATGTTTGGACAAATGTGAAAAATTTAGAAACAAAAAAATATCAATAGGATTTAACAACCGATATCATAGCTTTTAATTCCGTCAACTTTTAATGAGTGGTGTTTCAGCCCCTTTCTATAAAATAATATGCATGGCCTGTATTACTGTTTTAGATGCTGTGCAGATGAAGATTTGATTAAAAAACAATTGTAGAGTCCTGGGCGGTAAACTGGCGAACAGATTTAAGGAGGTGTTTTTTTCTCAGGGACTAATTATCTCATGCTTTCATCATGCGTGTTAGTGCAGCATGAGAAACCTTTTGGCCGTGTGATCATTGTTGCTTTTGAGACTTTTTCTCCACACGTGCTGTTGTAAAGTATGGCATTGTCATTTTTCATTGCAGGCTTTTTCATCCGTCCTTTTTATAAGATGATGCTGGGGAAACAGATATCGCTTAAAGACATGGAGTCTGTGGTAAGGCCCCCTTCCTTTATAGGCGCTAATTAAAAGAACAACATAACTACTACACTGTGATAAAGATTCATGCTAAATAAATACTTTTTTGTTTAATTAATACAAGTTTTAATTTCTTTAGCATACTGTTAAGGTTCATATCACTTTAGTTAGATTAAGAACTGATATGATGGACTCTATTCTCATCATTACTGCAATTCGGACACTTCCATCCATTTATTGCATTCGAGAAAAATATTTATTATTTTTCTGAGTGATTCTATATTTATCATAAAGCTTGGGAAAAAAATTCTCTGAGTCGATTAATAAAATTTGGTTTAAAACCGAACATATTTGTTGTATCTCTGCAGGACAGTGAGTACTATAACTCCCTAAAATGGATTCTGGAAAATGATCCCACCGAGCTTGACCTGAGGTTCTGTATCGACGAGGACAACTTTGGACAGGTGAGCCGACTTCAAAGCAGCATTTTTTTAGCCTATATATTTGTAATTAACAAGGATTGCTGCACATTTTTAAATGTTTCTGTGTTTTTCCTCAGACGTATCAGGTTGACCTGAAGCCCAGCGGATCAGACATGGTGGTCACCAATGAGAACAAGAAGGAATACATTGAGTGAGCACTCCCCTCATTCCCCTCACCTTGATTCTTTATTTATTTCAAAACATCAGCATGAAAGGTAATTTTTTGCAGCATTTCATTTTCTAAAACATTTTTTCTTTCTTCCAGCTTGGTCATCCAGTGGAGGTTTGTCAACCGGGTCCAGAAACAGATGAACGCCTTCTTGGAGGTATTTGTGTGCAATGATTGTGAATCTCCACATGGGGGCAGTGTGGCTATGATGTTCTAGTTTTGAACATGATATAAACTGTAGCAGTATTTTTGCTTTTTTAGCTTATGGAGATATTATTTTTATGTCTTATGAATGTTTTTTTTTTTTACTTTTTCAGGGATTCACTGAACTCATTCCAATAGATTTGATCAAGATCTTTGATGAAAATGAACTTGAGGTATGGAAACCTGCCTGCTTATGGGAAAATTATCCCATACAGTTGTGACTGTAAAAAAATAACAATGGTTTTAATTTTTAATTTCACAATTTTCTTGCATGTTTAAATGTTTTATTTTTTTATTTAATAGAACAACACCCTAATCATTATCTCTGATTTATGGTCAAACTTTAGCCTAACATACTTAGTGGAAATATGTTTCTGCCTCTGAACTTATGTTTTCCTTCTTCCCCCTGTGCCTGTGAAGCTGCTCATGTGCGGTCTGGGCGATGTCGACGTTAATGACTGGAGGCAGCACACGGTTTACAAGAATGGCTACTGTCCCAACCATCCGGTTATACAGTGGTTCTGGAAGGTTTGTTGGTCAGCCACAAATGAACACAACATCTCATATCAAGACTGCAATAAGAAAAGGGAAAACAACACTATTTGAATTATGGGTGAAATGGCAATTAGATTAGATGACTGTCGTATTTGAAAGCATATGTAGGGTATCAGGCTAAAAGGCTCAAATTTATTTCCCACTGGTCAGAAGTAGATCAATGTCCTTTTTTATTCATTTATTTATTATTTTTTATTTATATTGCATGATTTTCATTAGGTTCTCAAACCAAATCTTTTTCAAACCATTTCTTAAGTATATTTATTCGTCATATTTCACAACTGTTGAAGTTTTTTTTTTTGCTTTTAAACATTATTTGCTCATAACAATTAATTCTCTGTTTATTTCCATCCTTTAACAACAAAGGCTAGCCATTGTTTGCCCAGTTAGCCCTGACCTATTAAGTAAGGCCCTGGTTTTTGCCATAGGTATGCCGTTTACACAATTTACAGAAAAGATTTTTAATTTACTGTGACTTAGACCACAGTCATTTAACCTACTGAAATGATGGGTGCTAAACCCTACATATGAGCTCTAATCCTGCACTTAGGTGAATAAAAATGGCCTATTTTATTTTTTTCCCCCTCAGTATCAAAATCTTTTTTCTTGAATATCTTAGTGTACTTGCACTCAGTGGCCCTGCTTTGTTGCAATGGTTGACATCGTAGATGGCTATAGAAATGAAGCTGGTACCAGACATGTCCCCGTGCGTTCAGCCTGCCAGATCAAAGTCTGTGTTAAAGAACACTGTTGTTTGCTCTGATGAAAGAGTCTCTAGTGTTGCATGCTCCACATATTATCTTAACTTGAGCGCTAACAGACTCACACACATCAAACACGCTTCTGTTTGAATTTGCACTGTTGCGCTTTGGTTTTTCTGAGGACACTTTGACATCATGTGTATCCTAATCCTTGACTATCAAAACCAAATGAAGTTGACCCCTAAGCAACCTTAAATGTTCACTTTCACATAGAAACGATAAACCTAAACCTTAAGAAATCCTTTCTAGACTTTAATGAATTTATTTCATTGAGTATTTAATGCACTAATGATTTAATCAGAAAAATGTGAACGACTAAAGGAGTTTTTGTGTCTTTCTTTTTAAGGTTGTCCTGTTGATGGACGCTGAGAAGAGAATCCGACTCCTCCAGTTTGTGACGGGGACATCACGTGTGCCGATGAATGGCTTCGCTGAACTCTACGGTAATGTTTCCATCTCAGACCTTCCTTCTTGTTAGCATTCAGATCTCTGTGTTTACAGCAGGGATTCACCGACACCTGATTTCTTTAAACCTGTACAACTATTTACATTTCAGTACTTGCTGATACCAAATACCCATACAGGTTCTAAATAAAAGCTTAGTTATAATAAGGAGTTGTGATCATATTTTCTGAAATGCTTAGTAGGCAAAGACAGACTTTTACCTTCAGTCGAGTACAGCTGAGATGCAGTAGAGGGAGCTTTCTTCCACATCAGAGAAAAGAATCTTGACTACAGCAGCTAAGGTTGACTCAGGGTTTGGATTACATGATAAAACATAAAGTGCTATCAGGTTGTTTTTACAAGTATAAGTCCAAGTACTTGAGGGTATCAATATCATTGCCCTCCTAATCCACAGAAATATATTCCTGTTTGTAATTGCTCTCACTGCATAAACATGATTTACCACAGTATTAATTAAAGCAAGGATGAAACGATGTTACATTTTTATAAAATGTTGTTGTCGATGAATATTTGGTTTAACTTTAATGGTAAAAAAAATCACAGTTAACCCATTTTATTTCAACATTCAGCAGCTTTTTAGATTCATACACAACATAATAAATTTACATGAACGTAACATTTTGATCCCTGATTTAAAACACAATGGCCCGTGTTATAATAACTTTAAAGACAGCTGAAGGTTAAGTTATGAACTATAAGATGGTCCATGTTATTAAATGAATTGTATAACAAACTAAAATGAGTACACATCTGAAAATGATCCACTAACTTTTTCAGTCTTTCGCCATGCTCTTTGGATTCCCTGCTGTTAGCTTAGCCAAGCACAGGAAAAAAATGCGTGTACTCTCAGAGCAAAACTCATTAACAACACAATGACCGGCGCTTAAAATGGGGGGTCTTTATATTGACCGGCTGGTCGCAGATCACGTGAAAATCGTCCTATTTCTGAGCACTGTCCATTGAGTGGCACAAGTCTATTTAGAACTTTATATTTTTTCACATTGCTTTAACTGGCTATAAGATAGCTATGAAGCTGAAAAATAAAAATAATGCTTTTCAAGCAATTTACCAAAGGTTAAAAATATTTTACATAGAATTAAACTGCGGTCCTTCTGTTCTTAAAAAAAAAAAAAAAAAAAAAACAGCACAAGATAATTCCAGGATTTCTGTGTGGAAGAAAACTCTAAACTATACAAGTGAATTCAGAATAACAAAGAGAGTAAACAGCAACATGTGGGCAGCCAGCTGTCAGTCAGTGTTGATGATCGTGACATGATGAGAGAAGCTTCTTTTGATTAGAGCTGCTTCTAATCGATGTTGATAAAGTCTTTGTTTCTGCACACGTTGAGAAAATCATAGGGAAATTTAGCCTTTAAATTCAGTTAGCATTTTTCTCTTCTAACGCAGACACTCAGTCAGTGGCTCTGCACCATCGTCTCTCTTCACTCGGTTCAAGACATGCTTAACTAGCCCACATTTTGACTAATCAGCGTCACGTGTCCGTATCACAGCTCCCTGCTGTAAAAACTCCCTGCAGCAGAGAGTGCGCTTAGGAAAACGCTTTTATTGATCGAATTGTTGTAATGCACTGCCTTATATTGCAAGTGGCAGAATGGCACGACCAATATGTTAAAAGTAATCAATTAGATCAGTGATTCCCAGTGCGAGGTTACCCCTAGTGGTCCGCGAGTGCATTGCAAGGGGTACATGAAAATATTTAATTTCTTAGGTGGTGAAATAAAATAAGGCTGGGATCTGTTCTGCTTTGTTAGGAGCCATTCGAAAAAATTAAACAAGCTTTTATCAACCAAAATGTAAGTTTTTCGGATATGTTTGAGTTCAGCTTCAAAACCAAGCAGAGGAACAGACTGGTAGTGAAGAACAGCCTGGTATCAGATGTTTTTCCTACTGAGTTATCGTAGCTCCGCAAAGCAGCTCAATAATTAACAGAGTCTGACTATAATTTTTGTTTAGTATTTTGTTTCCAATTCTTCTAGTTTAAATTTAATTATAAGGGAGTTACTCAGAGGAGCTCCAGTTTTATAAATAGACGTTCATAATATGATTTTGTTTTGTATACATTTCAATTCCTTACTTATTTCTAGGCAGCATATTTATATTGTTGTTGTTCTTTTTTGTTATATTGAAAGAACAATGATCAGAATTAAATGCTCAAATTAAAAGATTAAGTAAATAAGTTTTTACTTTACACTCAGTTATTGTACATTCCACCGTTGGACAATAATCAATACTTTTGAATGAGCGGGGCACTCATGGTAAGACAAAATGCACAGTTTGCAGAGTTTTACACAAGTCCAAAAAGGTTGGAGGGAAAACTGAGTTAGATTACTTTTTCAATGAAAAACCAACGTAGTTAATAATGCAAAGCCATTTAATAAGACTATTAATGTCTCAATATTTAACTTTACATTTTCTTAAAATTAACAAAGTTTTAAAATATAATTCTATTTTTTTTAAGATCAAAAAAGCAGATGTCAACCAGAAGCAACTAATGTAAAACTCTGTTCATTTATCTCCACTTTAACTTGAGTTTCACGTCTAATGTGAGTATTTTGCTAGCTAAACATCTCCATCCTATCGACGACTGTTTTCTTTGGTTTTAGGTTCTAATGGCCCTCAGCTGTTTACGATTGAGCAGTGGGGAACACCAGAGAAGTTGCCAAGAGCTCACACATGGTACTCCACCTCTCTGTTTGAAGAAGCATCCAGCTGCTATTTCATGTCCTGTTTCTCTAACTTTGCTTCTCCTTTTTTTTTTTCTTTTTCTCAGTTTTAACCGCTTGGATCTGCCCAGTTATGAATCCTTCGAGGACCTGAGAGAGAAACTCCTCATGGCGGTGGAGAACGCTCAAGGCTTCGAGGGAGTCGACTAAAGCACCCCCTACTGACTGAATCCAACAATACCAAGAAAAAAAGTCCATCGGAATCCACAGGGACGTGAAACCAGTTGCTGTAGCAGTTTTTGTGCGAGCATGTTGTATCGTAATGCCTGACTGTGAGCCGTCTCCACTGCCTGGTGGATTTTAAAGACTGTACAGCAACTTGTCTAGCCAATATGCCCACGTTTTTTCTATCTTTTCAGTGCAGGACGGTTCACTCCTTTAATGTGCTGGGGAGAGAAAAGGGAGCATTGCACTGCCTCAGTTCTGAAATGTCTGATCTGCAGACATAAGCAGCAAACAACCAGAGCTGGAAACCCCAAATCCACCATTTCTCTCCCTCATCCCCCATCCTGTGAAAATCTGCAGTGCTGGAAAATAACCGTGCATTTCAACAGCTTCACTATAGCAAAGAGTTCGAGCCCCTTTCAGTGGAGAGCTCCATGCATGGCCTTAATCTGGCTCCTACATGCACTATTACTCCTAAGAAGCTGCAACGGCACTAAGAGCTTAGATCTTATTCAAATCTTTAAGCAACACCAGGTAACCTTAGGAACTCTAGCCAATCATATTTCAGGAAATCAGACACACCCCTCCGTAGAGCCTTGTCTGGGTCATGTGATCAGATAGCGCTGCTGCAGCCTTTACAGAATAATTTTTTTTTTCTTCAAAAACTAAAACGATTAAAAAGGAGTTTAACCTTGTTATTATTTCCCTTTTCTTTAATATATAAATAACCTAGTGGTCATGCAACAAAATTTCTTTTTTATTAATCCTTTGTATAACTGACAGAATAACATGTTGTGTATTTGTACTGATGAAACAACGTTCTTTAATATTTCAACAGCCGCATACGACATGCCGGTTGAAGTTCAGATTCGGGGCGAGCAGAATCCATGTTTGTTACGCTGATAGCAAATGTTTAAAACAATGTTTTTACTGTAGTGCTTTAAAAGCAGCATGAAACTGTGCATTGTGTTTGCTTTTGACTGCATACTAACTTGGAAGTGGAATCGCCCTCGAGGTCATGAAGGGAAAAGTCAAATTGTGGCAAGTTTCTGTGATTATTGCTCCCCATGCCTGTTGCTGTTCATAATGCTGTAAAAAAAAAAGTTTGTTTTAAGCTCTTTCACGAGATATAAATATATGTATGTATTACACTTAACAGAAGTATTACTGATCAACACTAAAATGAAGCCGTGAGTGAGTGAATGTTGGAGTGAAAAGCTGTGATTACCGCTGAATATAAAGCAGCATGTTTCTTACAAAGAAACACAAATATCGCTATTTTGTTGTTTTTCTTCCCATCTCCTGTTTTTCTAACACAACTGAACCTAAAGGGCACTTTATAGATAACTCCGAGGTCATGTCGCCTGATATGTCTTTTCATTTACTTGAATGTGGTTCTTTCCTTTCAGAGCACTTACTGGTGCAATATAAATACTCTGTAAATCTGGGCTGCTGCTATGGTAGAAACAGAAGTGAAGATGACACTTCATATTCTAAAGTCCATATCTTGATTTAAGCTTTTTCTTGATATTTTCGTCTTGTATGTTTCTTAACCCCTTGATCTCTCAACTCTAATCCGTTTTTGTTCTTGTTTGTTTTTTAAATCGGGTTTTTCTTTTTTAATGGATAATGAGAAATATAATTTTTTTTGTTAATGGTTCCACTACTTTCTGCAACTCTTTGTGGTTCATTTAACTTTAAAATAAAATGACACTTCTTACACGTCTGGTTTTGGTTAATTACGGCATCCTCTTCCACAAGAACAACAGGTGATTCATCCAGTAGCTCCAGAAAGTAACATTTGAAGAACCACAGGCCTCCTCTGCTTCAATTGACATGTTATGTGAATTGGCGCTATATAAATGAACTGAATTTAATTGAGTTTAGGTTGCTGTTCACAATGGAAGAAATGAGGGGTTTGCAAAATAAAATCCTTGTTGACCAAAATCATCACAAAGAATAATCTTGAGTTTCTGAAAAAAAAAATATATATATATCTCTAAGAGATCCAAGAGTATCAGGGTAAAAAAATCTGTGTACTGAAGAGAAGAAAATTACATTTGGTTGGTATGCATTCTGATGGCATTCATTCCACGTTTAAGAAATAAAACGACATAGCAACACCTAAAATGGTGGCGGTAGGAGGATGATCTGGGACTGCTTCAGCACCTTGATTTGGCTGACATGTCCGTCACCTCTGCTTTCTACCAGAACCTTCTAAAGAAAAAGATCCTTCAACTGAGTTTGCAGCGAGAAAGTATTTAAGGCGAACCAGGAAATCTAAAAGGTAAACATTTTGTCGTAGTCTAGTCAAAGTCTGAAATTTAATCCAACTGATATTTGTGCCATGGGCTTAAACAGATGTCCAAAAATGCTCCAACATGGCTAAAACCGAAATTGAGAGGCCTCCACAGAAATAGAAAATACCGTTTCCCAGTGAATATTTTTTATAATCACCTTCATTTCTAATAACATTCGTACATAAGAGCAAGATTTGTCAATTTATCCATCCCTTATTTAACAGCTTGCATTAAGAGATGTGTTAAATATGGAGTTAAAAGTTCTGCAAAAAACAGATAATATCAGAGAGAGGTAACTCCCAGCGATCTGCATGTTTTTATAGTTCTGTGGGAACTTCTGTACTGTGTAATTGTTTGGTCGCAGAATAAATTATCTCTTTATTTCACTGCAAATTGTTGACAGCTATTCCTTCCAAGGATGGCATAAGAAGGAAGTAAGATCAGAGGCAACTATTTATAACAAAGGGACAGAAAAGCATACATTTTTTACACTGTAAATGAACTGTTTTGAGCACTTTTTTTTGTAATTTACTCAGGTTAATGTTTATCTGCTATTAATATTCATTTGATGATCTGAAATACTGAAGATTTCTGTAAGCTGACCCTTTTGTTGTATAACCATTGCAGATGCCCAAATAGGTCAAATAAATGATTAATAGTTCCAGATTTAGCTTTATTCATGCCCCAGAGGAGTGTTTGCAACTGACTCCTAATCTACCTACATTCAGCCATTGCTCAATTAATTGGTTTAGAATATATACTATTTTGATTAATCAATGAATAATGCTGACATTTTTCATTAAAAATACCAGTATAGTGTAAGAAGATTAATAAATACATGTGGGGAAAAAAACAGCAACAGACATATTTAATTGTTTTTTAATTGGAATCAGTTATCCAGCTTTACATTTAGGAAACTATTTTAATAAAATTGTTCAACTGATGATTAACAGAGTACAGACAAATAAATTATTTCATGATTTAGGGAAAGGAGAGACCAAATTGTTTAGTTTCAAACATTTGAAATAAAAAATGAAATCTAAACTGATAAATAAAATATAGATATTTAAGTTGGGAGTTTATGAGTTGGCATGAAATTAAAATCCTATAGATTCCTCTAAACTAGATGTGTTTGTTCTTCACTTCTGAAACACTGAGATATTTTACTTTCAAAGGACAGAGCAGAATATAAACATAAATGTTTAATCTTTTATTAGAATAAGAAAATCTTTTGTATGTAATTTATACTTTTCTATTCTAACGCCTCAATTTTGGTCTGTAAAAAATGTGACTTATGGCCTCACCCATTTGGTGATGATAATGAGAGCTGCAGGCGCTCTTTACTGGATGAATGTGCACACCGTTTGTTGTGGTGAAGGGACCTCAGTTCATTCACACAGGCAATCAAAGAGTTATCAGCTCCAAGGTTGAGCAAATAAAAGCCACCCGGCCTCTCTGGGGACATTTTATCAAGCGCTCCTAAACCCTCCATCTGGTCATAAACAAATTAAGTGCCAACTTCTTAAACCTGAAATGTTTCAACTGGTCACCTACTTAAGAAACAAAGTGGTAAACCAATGTATCAGTGAAATTATGGGAACTTTTAAATATCAGACTGCTGCTTTATGCATTTAATAACAAGTGATTTAAAACACTAAAGCTAATTTTAGCTGATAACTAACAATTTTGTTTTTTTTTATGGATGGAAAATGTAAAAATCCCACAGTGTTTTATTAATGAATATTCCAATTTCATTGAGTTTTGTGCTTTGCTAGATCTGTTAAAAAATATTTAATGTTGTAAATCCAGTAATGGGGGAAATATATAAGTCTAAAGATATATTTTTCCTTTATCTGTCTTACTTACAGCCACACATCTCTTAGATTGTGCAGCTCCACGTCTCCTGTAGATTCAAGAGACGTGGAGCTGCAATTCATTTTCTTTTTTCTTTTTTTTGTGAAGGACAGTATTATTTTAATGATTATTTCAGGCATTTGTTCAGTTACTAAGCTGTATATATTTAATAGACTGGATCGAAAGAGAGTAATTTTTTTTAAGCATTGTTTTCTGCTAATTTGGCTGATTATGATTTAAAATAATAGATCCCTTAATTATTTGTGTAGAGAAATTAGAATGTCACTTTAGATTTTTTTTTTTTTATAAAGCTAAAATGGGGCATTCTGAGACTATCTGAGAGGGAATTTCTTTACTTTTGTGGTCACCATAAATGTAAAATATTACTGCGTTCCATGAAGAACAGCTCAGGTCAGTCTAGCTGACCTGAGATCATTTAGGACTGTCCATTTTCAAGTCTCCACAGATTTATTTTTATCACATCAGGTTCAGACTTAGATGGGTGATTCTACTGCATTGCTGTAGCTGTTCCATTGTAGCTCTGTCTGTATGCTATGGCCAATCGACCTGATTAAGCTGAACCTTTTTCCCAGTTTTAAGTGCTTTTCTCTAAAGGATCATCCTGCATTTAACTCCATCCATCTTCCAATTTACTCTAAGCAGTGTAATCCTGCTGAAGAAAAGCAGTCCCATTGTATAATGCTGCCACTGCCGTGTTTCACTGATGAGTTCAGAGTGACAGTAATGCTTTTGATCAGAGCAACTTCTTTAACAGTGACAATTTTCCATGAATGGCTGTAGAAAATTGAAAACCACATTCCTATGGACTTTCTCTTTCCTGCTCACGCTTAGCGGTAAGATTTTTGAACTCCTAATGGCTTCCTGGTCAACAGAGCGGATTAACTTCTGTTGTACAAGTTTTCATTCCTTCTCAATTATGTCAGTTTTGGAGAGATGCCCTGCTTTGATAGGTTTAGCTATTCTCTCTTTGCCCAGTATAGACGATGGACTTAAAGGTGTTCTCTAGCATATCCAGCATCTGGGATAATGCATCCTAAACCTAGTCTGTTCATCAATTGTTCCGCCTGATATATATATATATATATATTGAGTACCTTTGTCTTCTTGCTGCCACTTGTTCACAAATGATCTCTAAAGATTCATTCTGCTCACTAAATATGTTACCAAAATTATAAAATAAATCACATTCAGTCTTAAACATTTCCCATTAACCCACCAAGCACAATTAGCAGTATAATGGCACAATATTAAATCCTTTTGAAGCCCCTCCACCAACCCGTCTCTATTCTCCATTAGTTGAATTAAGCTCATGGTGGAAACACAGGTTCTGTCCAGGCCAGCTTTTTGGCCCTCCCCTCCTCCACCCTTCACCCTCTACCTCTGGTCAGGGTCGATCAATACTTCCCCCGTAGCTTATCACTAATGTCCCACTGGCTGTTTGTCCACTCTGCTCTGTCTACATAAAGACTTGGACGGGACGGCTCCTAACCCAAAAGCACCACGTAGTCACCCTTGTGAACCCAGCAGCACTACTGGACGTAAAAATACAAAGATAGAAGAAACTGAGAGCAGAGGGCGGCAGGAGACCCACTGCAGCCCAAGGTAAGTTTGGATTTTAATGATGTTTGATTCTTACTTCTTTATTAGAAAGTCTAATGAGGATTAACCGGAAATTGTGAACATTTGACAGACTTGTTTAATTTTTTTCCTATTTAGTAAATCTTCAGGAATATCTCATATCTTTCTGGGCCGATTAGTATTTAGCATTTATGTTTTAGAGACATATATCTGTAGAGTCATATTCCTCCTGCTCACATTCCCAAGCTAGCACAGCTGCAGTCATCCCCACAATCAGTAACAGAAGACACTCGGCTGGACTTTGGACACTTTGGATAAGCCTGCTAAAACTTGACGCTTGTTTCCTCTCTCATTATCACCATTTATACCCTACTTACTTTGGTTAAGGTCTAATAATATTTGCACAAATTGTTTATTTTCACAAAGACTACCCTGCTTCCTCTTCATTTACTCCACAGATTAAACTGCATTTTTCATTTTGTTCTTCCAGATCCTCCACCAATCCTCCCCTCCCCATCCCAACCTTCTCCATCTGCAGCCAAGCTTTTCCTCCAGAGCTATGGAGTGTGACAATGGTGTTTGTGTCCTCTCTATCAAACGCCATTATCACACTAAATAGCTACAGTGCAGAAAGGTCCTCAGTTCACATGCTTCAAATATCGGGTTGATTCATTCTGTCCTGAATGATCCGTAGGTTCTGTACTTTCCATCGTCCAAGCTGTAGTAGAGCATGAACACGTGTGGTCATGTGTCAGAGGTGGCGACAGATCGGGACACGTTACACCGAGGGAGGACAAGCAGGGATGGAAATAGATATCAAATGGATTGAAACTTGATGTCAAGACCATTTAAGCAACCTCTTTTTCTATTCATGCAAAACACAATTAGAAAATGTATTTATATATATATATATATATATATATACACATATATATTCGACATATAAACAGTATCTATTTTATTATTCATGCATTTATCATTTCATTGAAGAAGTTATTTATTGATTATTCTGTTTGGTAGTTCTTATTCTGAATCATAAAATGGTGCTAAAATTTAATCATGTAAAAATGAAATACACAATATTTACATTTTTTTTTTCATTTTATCAGTTGTATAAAACTGTGTATCATGACAGAAAGCTGTATAGGTACATATTGACTCTTCAGCATCATAATTATTCTATTATGGAAAAAGTAGTCATAAATTCCTTTAGAGATTTGCAAGCAGTAACAAAATGTTGACCGTACACGTTTGTAGCTTTGCTCATTTATATAAGTTAGAAAAGGATTATGAACATCTACAGGCTCCTAGGTTTTATTAATCTGGATTAATCCAGATTTTTGTGATGGTAAAAATAAATAATTTTGCACATTTTTAACCATTAATCTTTCATAAATCCAGCAAATAAAAAAAAAGTTCTTTAGATGGTAAAATTTGAATATAATCTTAAATTTGAATTTAATTATTCTGTAGGACAAATTTTGGTTAAGCATTTATATCCTGGGCTAAACAAACAATAAAATCTAACTTATGAATACAAATGTGAAAAATAAGGGATTAAACTAAAATGTGAAAAATAAAACAGCTGAAATAACCTGGTCACATAAGAGTGCACACACTTCAAATAATACTTTGCTAACGCACCTTTTTTATTTGTCTGTCAGCATGCCACATCAGGTTTTCTGTCATATTTAACTCTAGTGGGGTGAATACAAAAATAAAGGTGTATCCATGCAAAGCTACTAAGATTCAGGTTAGTAACTACCTGGAATTTGAAACCATTCATCACTTCATCCAACATGATAAACAGGTTCATACAAAGAATACTAACCACAAAGCATAATGCCACCACCACTGTGCTTCACTTTGAGAAGTGAGTTCTTTTATAGCAACCCTGTTCAACTTTTTACAATCCTTTTCTATCTTTCTTTAATGCCATTTTCTTGTTTGCTTTGTCATTGTTTATATTCACTGTATCTGATGGTAAATTGGATTAAATGCCAAAATAAAATCATAAGGTTCTTTAAAATTGGTTGTTTTAATGCTTTGACACTTATGCAACCAGCTTTTTTTTTTAACCTCAAATGTTAAGAAGGTATGTCACTACAAACATGGAAAATCATGTAACATGATTCAATATTGATACACTATTAGATCATTACATTTTAATGTTGACAGTAAATAGCAGAACTAATTAACATATTATAGTGGATTCATACAGAGCTTCTGTATCCATTACACTGAACACTTCAACCCTGTATAAATCCAGTAATCATATTCTAAAACCTATTTCAGATATTTCAAATGAACCCTACCTGAATTAAGTACTTTACAATATTAAACACACATTAATAAACTATTTCAAAAACATATTTCTTAAAAATAAAAGTATCAAGATTTTAGTCCAAGTTCCACCAAAGTAAGAGGTCGATCAATTTCTTTCAGCTTTGCCAATAGACAAATCAAAGAAATAAAAAGCACGCAGTTATACTGTCTAGTAAAACAAATTTTTTCCTAATAATTGAATAAGAGTTGGAAAATACAATAAAAAAGAAATGAAATAAATCCTTTGTAACCGATCCATAGCCAAGCAGTCTAAGACATGACAGTATATCACTGATTAAGTATTACCTAATATATCACAGGTTTTCAGAGAGTTTAGTCATAAAAACACCAGGATACAGGTAAGATTTGTAACAAGAAAAACATACAATGCTTCCTATTAACTGTTTTGATTAAAAAAGCAGGCTCCAATGGTATGGGAGTATCTTCTTTCAAAGTAAGTTGTCTTTTTAGTCCTTCTGCATCCTGCAACATCGAACTTGTTAATTTGCCAGAAACAGCGTCAAAGAGAGTGTAGAGACCTGATGTTATGACTTATTCTTCATTGTTGGCCCAAATGTCTTCTTTTTAGGGACAGTTGATGGTGGGGGTTTGGGTTTTGGAGCAGCAGGGACCTTTTTAGGTTTTGGCTGAAGGGGTTTCAGTCCCAGGATCTCACAATACTTGTTGCACTGGTGCAAAGCTTTGAACTGGTCAATGAAAGAGGTGGCACAGTTTCCTTTGAATCCCTTATACCTGCACAAATAATTCATATTAAGTCACCAGCATAGGTTAATTCATTTATTTAAAGAAAAAAATAAATACTCACCCTTTCTTACAAGTTGCTATTCCCACATCAGTAAGCTTCATGCCAACTCCTGAGAAGAAATCAGACAGATTTTAGCACTCACACTTTATGTTTTACCACACAGCTCTTTGCAGATGTTACCACCGGCCCTTCCTGACCTTGCATGTCAGTAACCAGCAGATTGCCCTCTGTGTTGTGGTACACCCAGTGCTGGAAAGCGCAGCATTTCTGCCCTGCCTCTGAGTCCCTTCTCATCACGTTGATCTCTTTACCGTCCTTCACCGAATACTTCACAAAGTCTCCTATTAGCTCCTCTTCTAGTGTTGCATAGGGGATGTCATTGGATGGACGGTGGACCAGGTAGATGGGAATGATCCTGGAGGGAAAATAAGACGTTGATGTTGGCTTACGTACAGTACGGATGTTATGGAAGAGTTAAACACTGGTAAACATAGCACTCACTCTGGGACGTCTCCGAAGGCTTCGACAGACTGAGCTGCTGATGTGTAAGCCTTTATGTACTCCCTTGCTGTGTTCTGAACCTGACACTCCTGCAGAATAAATAACCAACACTCACTTCCTGTATTACAATATCTCTATGGGACAGATCTGATTTGAAGCTTAATCTTTAATTTGCTTTGAATTTCATTCTTTAATGTTCCACACATAAATATTTGCATAAATTCAGATACAGTTTTACCCATGTATCTATGTATATGGTTGTCCAGTAAATGAGCACACACAGTGTTTCTACGCTAAAGCACATTTAAATACAGATCAATTCACAAGCTGAAAATACGTAATTTACCTAAATGCAAATGGGGGATGAATCTATGGCTTTCTATGCTTCTGAGTGCTTGGAAAAAAAAAAACTCAAGCACTCAGTGGTTGCATTTAACACCTAAAACACATTACTTTCTTGTGTGGCAGTAAATAAAATCAGGCAAAGTATCAGGGAGATAATAACTGCAGACTTCCACAAGTCTGATTCAATCTAGGATTGAATTTCTAAAATATTTAAGGGAAGTGGAAACTAGATCTACCCCAAAATCAAAGCTTATGAGGGGGCTGATTGAAGTATTATAAAATTTTCCTTCATTCAGACTGAGTGAGGTCTTATACCAACAAGGGCTGAAAGGCCACTCAGAGAGGAAGAGGCAATTCATCCAAATGAAGCCTGAATACAGTTTTTAAATGCAATCACAGACACAGCCCTATATGCAGACATATCCTGCAGTGTTGTAAGTATAATTACCATTTTATATGGTATTTATAATTATATATATCTATATATACAAAAATGTTCCAAACCAGACAGCCAAATTAGTAACAAAGTGACAGGAAGACACCCCTCCCCACCCAAAAATAATAATAATCAGTGAATATTTTGATGCACAGCATTACATATTTGAGTGCAAATCTATGACTACAGGGAATGACCTCATATTGTTCCTGTAATATGTTAACAGTGCTCCATTTATACTGGGCTTACTATACAAATATAACAATTGCTCACCTCTACAGCCAAATTGAAGTTCTTCTGAAGGATGTCATCATTGTTTTTGGTCCCATAGCTGATAGAGTTGTGCACCTTGAGAACGCATGAGTTTCCTGGAACTAACAGGGGAATCTGACCTGCCTTGAGCTTAGTCCGGAAAGCGCGCCGATGCATCCCCTCCCCAAAGTGAACCTTTTCAGTGAGGATGCTGATGGGGTGGTTCTCTCCAAAGTACTGATCCGACAAAAAATCCTCTTTGAACAAGAGTCTTGAGCAGTGGGCGTCCTCCTCTTCACTGCACAATTCTTCAGCCACAGCTGAGAGATAAAGATACACACAAACAACTTTAATTTAATGTAAACATTTTAACCTTTTCTTTAAATTAAATTTAAGATGGCCTTGGATTAATACTCACATGAAAGGAATTTTGGAGAAGCAGGTATGACAATCTCACTGAGAACTAAAATTCAAGGAGTGTTGAAAAAATTATACTTTCAACTTTTTTATTGATTTATTTTGCTTGAATCAGACATTTCTTTGCTTGTCTTTTACCTTCATACGTTAGCACGTAGTCCAGGTAGACTGAACCATGAGAGCAGCTTAGCTGACACACGTACTTGCCCAGGTCTTTATGGGTAGCATTGTTGATGATCAATGACACTCTGCTCTCATCTCCTGCACTTCAGAGACAAAGATTTCTTATTACCCAAGCAACTTAATGAGTGCATGTTCTCCTGCCAGCTCTACACATCATATTTAGATGTTTTTTGTTTTTTTTTTCAAATTTCTTTCAAGCATTTTGTTTTGTAATCCTGAGAGCATGCTTGTCCTTCCTCAGAGATAGGTGTCTGTTTCTGAACCAGAGTCATTTGCGTCTCTGGACTAAAGCAGCCACGGAACACTTTAGGAAAATGTAATTCTATTCACTGGAATGAGGAGTGGCAAAGAAGCTGGAATAGAAACAGAACATTACAAAAGTATTCATTACCATGCTAACTTAAAAAAAAGTTCCATGATAACTAAAAATTAATCCACATTTTATTTGGTTAGACAGCACGACATGGTCCGCAATTATAAGATGGAAAGGTCACAGTACATGGTTTAAAGCATTTCCTTCAAAGGTTTCTAAAAATAAAAAATAAAAATCCGTCACACAATTAATAACTAGAGCCTATGTGAGTTTAGTTGGTCATGGATAAAGTCGTGGAGAAATCTAATGGTTATAAAACAACCCGCCAAACTTGGAATATTTAATGGAGAAGAAAAAAGGTGAGGACACCAGGTGCCGATTGGTAAAACATGGTGGTGGTAGAATCATGCTATGGGAATACTTTTCTTTACCAAAAACAGGAAGGCACTAAATGATAACCTGTTAGGTGGTGCATAAAGGTTGAGACTGGGATGGTGGTTCACATTTCAGCACCACAAAAACCATAAATATACACTCACAGCTACAATAGAAAGATCTACGTTAGACTGAGTCCAGACATTATCCAATGGGAATCTTTGACAAAACACAAGAGGTGCTGATTTCCAACATTCAACGTTTTATGAAAGACAGATTTGTGTAAAATGGAAAAAATATGGAAAAAAGTCGAATTTTAAAATGTAGCCCTGTAAAATGACAGTAAATACCTTCTGTTAACCTGAGCCAGTGGTGTGGTGTCTCTGCTCCATGTTACAGTGTAGTCTGAGTGGACCCCAGCAAACTGACACCAGAGACACAGACTCTGAGGGTCTCCGCTCACTGACACTGCCTGGATGGACTCCACCACCTTTGGATCTGCAAAAATCAGGACACCACCATGATGAATAGAACAAGGCGTCAAAGACTGAGTGCTCTATTTTCACAGTGCTGGATGAGATCCCTTTACCTTCCTTTGGAGGGATCTTCTGTTTGACCACATCACTGTATGTTTTCTTCTGAGCAGCTGTGATCTCTGTCTGGGTCTCTTCCTCTTTTGCTCTTAATGAGGCATCTGCCTTTGGTAGTTTAGACTCCAAAACACTGAGAATCTTTCCAAATTTATCCCCTGACACACGTCGTTTTTTAACAACATCATCATTTGTGAGACGTGGAGCTTGCTGGGGCACCATATCATCTGGCTGTTGGGTTTTAGCTGCCTGTTTTACATCCTGCTGAGCTTTCCCACCTTTAATCCCAAGCTTGGTCTCAAACATATCAACCTTTCCTTTCGTAGTTTTTGCCTTTGCTCCATGTTCCAGATCAACGGATGCCTCTGCTTCTTGTTTACCTGCTGCTTTATGACCGTGTTTCTTCTTCTTCTTCCCGTGTGGCTTGCCTGTACCCTTTTCAGTTCCCACAATGTTCTCCATAGCAATTTCAGCCTCATTGACTTCAAGCCTATTGTTTTCAATAATATGATTTTCCCCTGTTGCTGGGGAGCTTTCTTGTTGTTTCCAGGTTTGCTGGTTGGAAATGTGCAGAGGTGTACTCTCTTGTTTTTTGGGAGCCTGTGCACCATGATGATTAAGAGCTGACTTCTCCTTTTTGGTGCGTGTTTTATCTGAGGAATTCTTGGAGGTTTTGTGAGGCATTTCCAGCTGACTTAGCTCAGATTCAGTGGTTGTAAAGATTGGTTCCGATATCCAGGGGACAAATGGATCGTTCAGATCTAAAGTGATGCAAGCAACACAATCTTTCTCTGATATGAAAAGATGGTCTCCAGGAAAAACGGTGAACCTCGCTAGGTCTCTGCTGTCGGCAGTCACAGAGAGGAACGGCCACACAGGCTCTTCAGGTTCTACCTCCTGTAGTTCATCTGGAGAGACTTTCTCAGCAGTGTTTATTATGTTCTGCGTTTTATGAATCAGCTCCTTGTGACCTTCCAAAAATTGCTCGTCGGTAATTCCACCCAGGGTCGGAAAGGTTGAGTAGTCTGGTACATGACAACAATCAATGCTGTCACTCAGGCAGGTTTCGGTGTAACTTTGATCTCCTTCCAAGCTGCTGTTTGTCTCACAGACGAGGGCAGAGTCGCCACTGACAGGATCTAAGCACATAATAAGCTCAGGACTATATGACTCCACCTTTCTTGCTCCAACTGAGTCTGAACAAATGTTAAAAGAGACATTTATACCTGAGTCCACACCTGGCTCGTTTGAATTTTTATGAATATCTGTAGAGAATACCCTACAATCTGTTTGACCCCGGTTTCCTTTAAAATGCTCCTCAGTCACAGAGCTCTGTTGGGAGAAGGTGTATTCACTTGGCAGTTTAAACAGGCTGTCTCCAAAACCCTGATGATGAAACAGACAAATGACAAGAAAATTCTTAGCTTTTTGGAACTTTAAACAATCATGTGTAAACATTTATCTGTTGCAAGATTATTCATACCAGTGTGTATTATTTTATGTTACTGCCACAAATTCCTGTATATTTTATGTATATTTTTCTGCATATGCCCCTCATATAATCTTTTTACAAATCTGAAAGTTATTATGTATTTTGCCAAATTTACTCTTATGCCCCTAAAACCCAGCCGCATCCAATTCTCTGTAGAAGTCATCTGAAATTAGAAAATAAAGCCAATATCTGCATTTTTTTTTCCTTTTCTCAATCCCTTTTATGTTTGAAAACATCAGTAAACAAACAGCATCATGGAGACCAAGGAACAGCAGATAATTAATTAGAAAGGCAGCCAAGATGCCCACAGTGACTCTGGAGGAGCTGCAGACATTTACAAATCAATCAAAATCTCTCTTTTTTTTTACACATCACAAATCCACTTTCCCAGGTAAACACTTACCTCTCCATAGAGCCACAATGTGAAAATTTAAAAAGCACAGGTATTCCATATGCAGCCTTGTGTAGAAGTCGTCCCCTCTGCTCTACATGACTGAGACATGCTTCAGCATTGCTCACTCTATTCTGAGTAAATGAAAACAGTCTTCTCCTCCCGAGGACCTCCAACCCTCCTGATCTTGTGTTTTCTAACTGAGACCTGGTCTGAACGTGTGCGTTTAAGGGTGCAAAAGACAGCTGGAAGTGGGCAGAGTCGTGTTTCAGTTCTCAGCTGTGCTCTCCTCTCAACCCATTCCCCTGACACACCACCGATGCATGCTATTATCAATGAACTGTCAGCTATTATTAGATGCCATTTATGTCTTCTTCTCAGCCCCCCTCCTGATCTTACAGTTCTTCTCACCTGTGAGGATATTAAGATATAAGGATAAAAAAAAAATCCAAATAATAGAGGTTAAAGGTTTAAATCCCAGTCAGGCTCAGTCTTGTACAGAGGGATGACTGACAGGCTAAAAGCATGGTAGCAATCACAAGGACAGGATGAAGAATGTCTCTTAACATTCTTGCTTTGTTTCCAAAATGTGTGATTGGTTTGTTCGTTGGCCAACAATGCAAAGCCGTTCTCTGTTGCCTCTGGTGTAAAGGTTGAATCTTTCCACCATCTCCAACACACGACCCACAGATACGGATAGATCCCCACATTTATTCTTATCAACCGGACCATGAATTTGTCTTAAGTTTATAATTCCACAAAACAATAAGACATAACCTTACCTCCTCAAGCACTACCTCTCTTTGTGTGTCCAGATCTACATCTTCTGTTATTTTTAACTCAATTGGATGGTCTTCTTTGCTGGAAAATAAATCTTGAGCAAATGATTTCAAATATCTATCAAACTGCGGTAGATCCAAACAACCTGAAGACACAGACCCAGCGTTGATTGTGACCTCCATCAGCTCAGCATTAGATTCTGCTCTCACAGAGAAAGAACCTGCTGATGAGTTTTCAGGAGCTGAGCATGAAGAGGGTTCTTCTGGATCTAGTTCTCCTTCGAATTTACCCAGAGATCTGACACCCTTGGTGCCTTCTCTTTTGCACAGTTTAGGTCTTGAAGCTTCAAGGCACAAAGAAAGACAGCTTTGTTCAGAAGAGACGGACCCCTCTGGGATATCTGAAGTCTTAAAAGGCTGATCCTGCACACCCATGGTTCTCTGTTTTTCCTCCTCCACCGTTACCCTTGGATCTTCTTGTAAAACCTCTGGTTCTCTGTGCGTGGTCACCTCCCGTAGTGCTTGTGTTAAAGCATCTATCTCGGCACCTATCTCTGCGAAGGCAGCCGTTATGTCTTCTGGTGGATCCTCAATAATCCCAGTCCAGTCTGAACGTGCACTAGCCCAGCTGTCTACAGATGACCACCTCTTGACTGGTGACCAGCCAATCCTCCTACTGTCACTGGGGTTGTAATCTGACTCTTGTAAGGAGTTGCTTATAGCTTGTTGATCCAAAACCTCCTTATCTTCTGCTTCCTCACCTGTCAGATACTGGCATGCGTCCAACCAGAGCTCAGTGGGGCTGTTGCTGTGCTGTCGTTGGAGCGTCAGAGCAGTGACCTCTGCTTTCTCTGGTCTCACATCATTTTCCAACATCCAGTCCACCTCCCAGGCATTCACAGCAGTTGCTCGTAACTCTTCACGTTGGCTCACGTCTGACACGTTGTTCTCTGAGGCCCGTTCCTCTCTAAATCCACTTTGACACCGTTTCTCAGTGGCTTCTAAATAACACATTGGATCATGTGCATCCCATTCCTGCACAGCCTTTCCTCCAGAGTGGGATACTGGCAAGTATTCAGGACTTGTAATCTTATGAGGATTTGCTGTGTGGGTGATGATAAAGTCCTGTGTCTCACTTTCAAAAATATAAAGATCTGACAGGGGTGCTGAAACCTCAACACTCTCTAAATTGTTGAATTCAGTAGTTCTCATTTTGTGCTCATGTGGAAGCAGAGATGTTTCTGGTCCTGCATAAAACTCTGTTGTGCTGGACAGGATAGGGATGAAGTCATTGCAAAGCTCAGGAACGGGAAATAATGCATCACTTTCTGGTTCCGACAGATCCAGACAACAAGGTCCCTTGGAAGCAGGCTTTTGTGAAGCCTCTGGGCAAAAGGAAATGCTGTGTGCTGAGTAGTTTGATCTATCACAGTCTGATAGTTTCTCCTCTGTGGTAATGTTAATTGTGTTATTCTCAGCGGTTTTGGACAGAGTCTCTGTACCCAGTTCATGTGCCAGAACTTCAGTTTGACCATCTGTGTGAGGTTCTGAAGATGGCAGAGAGTCATCTGTACAAAAAAGCGACAAATCCATCAGGTCTTCTGTGTGAATGTTGTGGGGGGGTCTTTCATCGAGCTGACCCCAACAGTCAAACTGGAGCAAAGTCCTGTGTAAATGAATGGATCTCTGTCGTTCTCTGGGCTATTCTCTCTTTGGACTCTGGCATTTAGCACCTGAAAAGGAACAAACGCTATTATTATTAAAATCTGTAAATACAATGTCCCACAGTTCCTGAGAAAAAGGCCTGCTACGTGTCTACCTCTGCTGCTCCTCAGTGAGACGTGTTGTTCTAAGTTGCAGAGACAGCTGTGTTTATTTCAGGGATTCTTAAGAGTCTTCTTGCAAACCTTATCAAAGGAAAGCCTTTCTCCTGTTATTACTTTGCTGATAAAAGCATGTGGTGTTATACAACAGCTGACAGTTCAGGTTTCCACACCCCACTTTTTCTTAAAAGCCCAACTGAAAGGTAAGAAATCTGTGTTTATCTGTATCCACTAAAATTAAGAGAATGATGAAATAATAACCAAAAGTAAATTTCACTAAAGCATGTATAAACACATTACAAAAAAATAGAAATCTAATAAGTAAGTCATTTTTTTCTTAAAATAAGTGCATTTTTTTCTTGAATTGAGGAGGTAAATGAGACGCTTTTCCAATGGAACAAGACAATTTACATCTAAAATGAGAAAAAACAACTGTCTTATTTCAAGTCCATATTATCTAAATATCTTATTTTAAAGAGTGAAAAAAACTCATTTCATTGGCAAATCATCTTATTTAACTGCTTAAATTAAGGCTAAATACACCTAATTTAAGAAATGTTAACTTATTTCTAGATCCTTTTTGCAGTGCAACAATGGTTAGCAGGGTGGTAGTGAGCAAATCTAAAATAAAAAAAAATAAAAATTATGATGCATTTTTTCATTGATTCTCCTCTGATTTGCAATGTATATTACATGAAAATCAAAAAACATGAATATCACTTGTTTTTATTAGATCAATTGATTCTTAGCATTAACCTGACATCATCCTTGCCACAGCTTGGCTAAGGTCAGACAACTATTACTGTAGAGTGCTAGTCTGCTACCAGCGTGCAAAAAACTGTAAGGAAAATGAGACTTTTTGGCTTACATACAATGTTGTATATGGTTGGAAAAAAAACAAAACAAAAAACAGGAAAAAAAAAAAAAAAAGGTCATACTGCAGACCTGCATCCCCACTGTGAAACATGACAGTGGAAGAATCATGCTGTAGTTTACCAGGGACATTCAATGGGGTTGGAGCTGACAGGGAGGTATGAAGCTATGCAAAGCAGTTCTAGGGGACAACCTATTAGAGCAGGGGTGGGCAATTCCAGTTCCTGAGGGCTGGTATCCTGCCACTTTTAGATGTGCTTTTTGTTCAACACACCTGAATAAAGTAAATAGATGATTGACAGAAACCTTAGTGAACTCACTGCACACTGCGGAGGTAACTCAGCCATTTAATTGAGGTGGGTTGGACCAATGATGGATCTAAGAATTGCAGGATACCAGCCCCCAGGAACTAAAATGACCCACCACTGTATTAGAGGCTGCAATATATCGACACTGAACATGCAAACAGATCAATAATGGCTTCAGATCTAGAATAAATTGAGCAATTTGTCTTTATTTTGTCTTAGTTAACAGAACTGTTTTACTCTTCCTCTCTGATGCTGTCATTATTGTCTCAGTGACTTGTTTCTTGTTTCTCAGTATTTCCAGTTTTCCTGATGCTTAGCTTAAATATAAATACACAAGAACCCTTTCTAACATTGAAAAATACTGGGGTTACTTTTAGCTACATCTGGTATTGAGTGTTTTTTTTCAGTCTCAACATCTTGTCTTAAAAGTTACATTAAATAAAGGGTCCAAACTGCTTTTGGAGTATGGGTCACATGTGGAGGGTGTTTATGAAGCATTGCCAAACGCAGTGGTTCCAAAACATTCACTCTGACATATAAGATGGAAGCTGGCGGCAGAGTTACTGGAAAAATAGCAGCTCATCTTCACTCCTGACCTGCATTTGTCAGATTTCAACCTCATAAAGGACGCCTGACTGGAGCTTTAAATGTTTACTGTGAAGCACACTCTACAAATACTGGATGCAAACTGCAAATATAAAAGCTTCTCAAGTCGATATGAGAAAAAACCTGCAGTTATTCCAACACTCAACCTGTCTGATGTTGAATTATAACATATAAGCCAGCTTATAATACTCTGTGAGTTCTAAATGCTTAACTAATGGTCTTTTTGAAAAAAAAAAACGAGATGCAAACTTCATTCATAAGCATTTCTATGCTTCACAAAACAGTTATGTCTGACATTTATTATTTTATTTAAATCAGAAAGTCTACACTGAAACTGAGCTGCAACTGACAGCAATTTCAATTTCAACTTCATATAAAATGTGTGCATGTTCCAGGTTTGAAATATAAAAGCTTAACCAAATGATATACGGTAAACTACAAACCAGCTCTCGAATCCACCACATAACAAGGGAAAGACTACACTATTATATTTCAGGTTTAAATGAGAAAGTGAAAGCTGATGCTTAATAAAATGTGAATCATGCAGCAGAGTGTTTGTTAAAACCAAAGAGACACAATCAAATGACAAGATACCTTGTAGCTCAATAATAGCTTATAAAACTATAACAATTAAAACACTTGTCTCATCTGCAGGGGGATTACCAGCTAAACAAATAGTACGTACCCATTTCATGGCCGTGCTGCAGAGGATATAGACCTATGATGTAGGACTTCAGTGAGAGATCAGGCAGAGCTGGCGGTCTTGGGGTGTGGGGCTATTTTTGAATGTTGTCCCCCACAAGTACAAAGTTAGTTACATGATATTGTGAACATGTGCTGATCCTGAACATTTAAAACCTGATATGAACACTTACAGACAGCTTCAGGGATGACCTAGTTTGGATGATGAATATCTGGATCAATTACTTTCAGAGCCTGGTACGTTTTTTACTACTGGGAGAGAAAATAGATAATAAATATGTAGCTAAATACCAAGGTCATGTTGGACTAAGGGCGTTTTAGAGTGCACATTTTTAAGTCTTGCCTAAGATTCTTGATTGGATTTAATGGGGTCTGGGAGATTTTCACTCTGAACGTGCTTTGATCTCAGTCATTTGCAGTTACTAAAGAGTGTTTTACTCTATCCATCTTTAAATCTACTCTGATCTCTCTGATATTGCTGAGGAATTTAATCAGCATAGCATAAAGTTGCCTTTTAGGATCCACCATTTTTCTTTTTTTTGTAATTGTTTTTTTTTTAATGTGTTCTTTTTTGTCATGTCTAAATAGATCATTTGTTTTTAGCTTCTAAATTGTTCAGTACTCTGTTTGAGATAATAATAATTAATAGATAATAAGCTCCTTTAGCAATTTTGGTTCATTAGTCCCCTCAGCTCAGTATTCCTGCTATGTACATGTCCTCCATGGCTGTTCCAAATTCCTCTGATTAACCTACCTGCGTTCCCTGGCATTTCTCACTCCTTTCTCGGTATATATAGTAGTATATATTCCCTTGTTAATATGCCTGTATTCCAGCTCCAGTTCTTCTAGTGTGAATTCTCTAAGATTTCTTTTTTAAAACCCCACCATGAAACCAAACGTTATTTGACCAATAACAGGCAGCTTTAAAGGCAGCTGAAGACACTTTTATTTAGGCAAGCATTTACTTAAAAGTATTTTTTATTGTTATAAGCTGTTCTTGTGTTATTTTGTATCCCTGTGAAGCACTTTGTGATTTTGATTTGGGAAAGGTGCTACATAAATAACATTTTACTTAATGAAAGCAGCCTAGTCGTACTCTGCAATAACATATTTTAATGACAGTTTCACACTCTGGTTTGATACAAGGTCTTCGGATTGAATTGTTGCACTCTGGGAGGTTATTACCTCCACCTAGGAGGTTACATTTGTAGGAATATATGTGTGTGTGTTTGTCTGTCTACAGGACAACTTGAAAACATATGGATGAATTTTAACATAATTTTTCACCAGAGGTGCACCTCATGCCAAGGAACAAGAGGGAAATTCGCTGATTGGTGGAGATCTGTGCTCTTAGAGTGCTTTTCTAGTTATATTAGTTCTGTGTTTTACAATAATTTTTGATCTGGTTGTTGGTAAACAAAGAACTTTTTGTGTATTCATCATCCCAAGACCACTTTAATGAAGGATGATATTGCGAATGCTTGCCATGACTAAACAAGGAATGGAGCTAAGCGAGTCAGGGGGGAAAAGAAGAAAAGTCCAAGATGCAAAGATGAGACTTTTTCTGTGTTGTGTGAGAGTCATGGGAAGAAGACTTTCTGACCTCCTTCTCATAACAATCACATTAAATTCACCAAAAGATTCTCTATTAGTTTAATCTTGCTGGGCACTCACTAATGGCTGCTTTTCAAATAGATGTTGATGTAAACAGACATCTTTTGGTAGGATAGCATTTGTACCATACTCTCACCATTTTCAAAACATTATATGGTCTGTCTCTGGATAAACACATCATTGAGCACAGATGCAGCAGATGAAGTAAGAACATAGAGGATAACCAGAACGACTTAGATCCTCCTCAAGGTAAAGCATCAAACTCAAAGTCCTATTACCTACACTAGAGGGACTAATTAAAATAAATTTTGTTGTATTCCCATCAACATAGTCAAGGAACAGGGACACAACAAAGGAGCAAAGAAAAAAAGGATTGAACATAGAGGAGGGACACTGACAAGGAGCAGAGCTCGGAAGGAACAAGTAATAAGGAAAAAGATAAAAGCAAAACAAAGGAGGTAAGATTAATCAGGTGAAAGTAAGAAACATCACAGAATCAAGGCAAGGAGCCGAGATATTAACAAACACAGGAGTTGTGCACATAAATACTGGAAAGAATCTAAAAAATAAATCTAAATGTACAAGAACACAATTGTGACAAAAAAACTCAAACTCGAATAAACAACTAGATAAAATTACCGGCAGGGAAATTATGACAAAAGAGAGAAGGAAAAAATATTAAACAGCCTAACATTGTAGGATAATGTAACTATTTCATAACATTGCTAACATTGTTTAATTCCTTAATTAACTGTGAAATATATGAGGAGGACTAAAAATTTTTTTTATTGAAACATTGTATAATGTACTGTAATGCGGCACTAACATAGTTTCACCACTCAATGATTCTTAGTATATCTTTATTAAAACAGTAAAGTCCCATTGAGATTAAAAACCTTTTTTTAATAGATAGATGAGCAGGATGTACAAAGTTTCTGCACCCTGAACACTTGTCAAAAAACAATGGTGTTTTTCTGAGGAGTAGGAGCAGCGTGACACTCACACAAACCATTAAAACTTCCTCCGTTGTGTAACGCTTATTTCCATACACCTGTTCTTGTTTTGCCGTCTAAATCTGCCAGGCAACCAATGAAATATTATTAGACTAAATTCGTCTTTGAGGAAGCTGTTAGTTCTAATCGACTTTGAAGTGAAACAAATGTGAGTGTTTTCCAAAAAAAAGGTCCAAATTGGAAGATTTGAATGAGTCCCCCATGAAATCTCATGCATCTTCAGCATGGTTTCCGCAAGAGTTGATGTGTCCTCGTGACTTCATGTCGTCATTAAATGGAAAGGATCCTGTTACCAAAGCAAGCTATATTTTTACACAGACTGGCCTCAGCCTGGCCTTTGCGCTGCTTTCCAAAACCCAAAGGCCAAGAACAGGTGGAAATCACACGAGGCACATATTTGTTTTGTGTTGATTAAAAAGAACTGAATGGAGCTTGAATGCCACAATAGCAGCAACAATAGAAAATGCACCTAGCAGGCAATGGATTTTTCTTTGTCATTATTTTAGGTAGAAATTTAACATATAACAGCTTTAAACTTTGGTAAAGCTTTGTTTCATATGCTTAATTTATCATGGTTTTATTCGATAGGTAAAAAAAACCCAAGCAGAAGTAGAAACATCCGCATTTCTTAGAGGCTGCTCAGCAGGTGTCAGCACAAAGCAATGCACAACAAAGCTCCTGCTCTACATTCGCTGTAACTGAGAAGCAAGTCTGCCATTGAGGCTATGTGTTTGATGTCACTTGTAACTAAGCCCTTAGTTATTCTCTCTACAGTTGAGTCAGTGTCTGGTGCATTAATATGTCACTTATAAAAGAAGCGTAGTGAAGTCATTTGTATTCTTGGACACCGTAACATCTGGCAATGACTGGCTATAAAAGAAGGAGCGTAAGGGAGTGTGGGAAAAAGTGAGTCACAGAGAAAAAGAGCAGTCAATTTAGGGAAATGGCATCTTAATTGCTATAATTTTTGCTCATTTATTTTTAGATGAATTATAAATGTCACAGAACTATATTTTGTAACCGGAAATCAAATGAAGGTGGGAACAAAAGGAAGAAATTGTAATCATTCTTGACTGAAAAACATTTTTGGTGTGTTTATGAGCTTTTATGAGACAATCCTCTCTGTCAAATATCTTGATCCCTGAGAGCTAAAGCTGAACGGGCAACAAAGAGAAAACAAAGGGGGAGGAAAATAATGCAAATTACAGCCATAAAAATAAATTCTGTGCAATAACTGTTTTCTGTTCCTGCCTGCACTGGCAATCAGGTCTGATCGGTAACACCTGTGATATCTTTAATAACCTGAAGATGCTACACTTGGGAGGAGCACTATATATTCCTTTCTCTCCCAGTGGGTAACTGCCAGACTCTTGAAAGACATTTGTCGGAGTTAAGCTTCCAGCAATCATCATTTTGACTTTATGAAGAAAATAAGTAATTTTAAGGTTGTATAGGTTAATTAATTAAACAGGTAAGGGCAGAGAACATTCACACAGAGTACAACATTGTTTTAAAGGATATTTATTTGCATAAATAAACATGCATCCCTCCACAGTCATCCCTAGTAAACCACCAAACAGGCTTAAATCAAAGGCAACTGGAATCTTATTTTTTTTATCTGAAGACTTTCTGATACCTGACTTTGTCAATTCTGTCAGCTCGCACTAGAGCAGTCCATAGTTGGAGAGCTGATTTTAAGCAACATGGAGGTCCATCCTCCTAAGTACATTTCGAGTCAGTAAATTATTGGTCATCCCATCATCTGCCTGGGTTGTTGGAGCCTTTTGTGGTGCGTGAGCCATTGACCAAGTTGACTGGGAATTCCCACAGGCATCCCTAGTAAAGATTTTTTAAAGCCTTAAGATGAACTCCTATTTTATTGCAATAGCATATGACACACTATTAAACCTAAAAACAACAACCTTTGATTTGAGCATCTTTAAAAATTAGCACATCCCATTAAATAATCTGTTAATTAAACCTCAATCTACTGACGACTGATCTTGTTTTTTTTATTAATTATGAACAGAAAGGTACTTTTGATTACACTTCAAATCAACCTTGTTTTACAAGGAAAATGCTGCCTAAAATGGGAAAGACAGAAAAACAGACCACAGAAATAAGGCAAGAATTGTTTTTTATATTTATAAATAAATGTAAAGAAGGCAGCTACAAACCTACACCTGCTCAGATCAATACTAGCATTAAACGGTTTCAAATAGGTAATCACTCAAGGAGTAGCCAAGTATATCTTGTCACTAACCAAGAATAATAAAGGACCATTTTCAAATTTTACTTTTGAAAACCTGCAGCCTTTTTTAAGTATAAGTTTGTGTTAACACAAGTAAAGATTCATTTATGTCGAGTCTTCTTACAAACCTTTATTGGGGATACATATGAATAAGAGGACTGCATTATATGTTACACCTTATCTAGATACTTTTGTCTTTAAGGAAGAGGTAGGGCTTTTCAATCAACACGGTTAGAGCACAGCCGACCACCAGAGTGAGCACCAGATGGCCGAAGAACAGGTACATCTAAAGAAAACAGAAACCCACAATGACATCATGGAAACAGAAAGAGACCAATTATGGTTTCTTAATAAGTGATTAAGATGAAATTCTTACAAAGTTGATATCTGTGTAGTGGATTGGTGTTTCTTGCAAACCATTGTAGAGAATAATGAAGATGGGATGTACCAGATAGCAGGCAAAGCTAATGTTGGACAGAGGAACCCAGACACCAAAGGACAAGAATGTCTTGATAAATCCTGCAGAATTAAACAACAAAAACAAACACTGGTGTAGAAGGCCTGCCTTAAAAACTAGTGTTCTACCCTTTGTAATATTAATACTATATACTTAAAGAGTAACAGTTCTAATATCTGTGCTGTGATTCTTGGTAAAAGTAACTAAGGCAAAAACAAAGAATTTAATCAGTATTTAGTTATATGCTGGATGGTACATGGTGCTGAATAGTTCATCTGTTTTGCTGCAATGCAGCGAAACAGATGAAACCACTACTAACAGGCAAACAGACATATATGATGCAAAAGAAACCAAAATAATTTGTAAAAAAAAAAAAAAAATGCACGCACTGAAAGCAACAGAGTTAAAAAATAAAGCTTTGAAATTTAACATAAATACACCAGACCACTAGAGGGAGTCGACCACCTAGTCAGCTGTCTAAAATCATGCTTACTTAAATATTCTGTTGTTTTATGTTTTAAAAGTTTATGGCCACATGCATGGCAGTACTTTAACAAATACCTTTTTTTTTCTTCCTCCATCCTACTTCTGTGCATCATGATAATGTCTTTACTAATGTCTTTACTTTTTTCCTAACTGGCTGCACCTACTGGTCTGATGCACTTCTGTTTCTTGAGAAACGGTTTTCTGCTCTTTTAAGTTGCTGTTGTTTTTGATACGGGCTGCCTTTTGCTCCTACTGTTTTTTTTAATTGCACCATGTTTTTTTTGTGGAGCACTTGTATGAGTTTGTGCCTTGAAATTTGGCTTTTTTGTGTGTTTGCAATGCATTTGTCTGTTTATAACACATTCAGTCACTTTCTGTGTGTTTGCACCTGTTGGACACCCTAGTTCTAACATATTGAAGATGTATTTTGAGTTGTTCTAACCTCCATAGCCCTCCTCACAGGCCAGAATGATCCAACTCACAGCCAGGGCCCAGACTGGTCTGTGCAGCCCCTGATACAGAGCATGGGCCACAGATGGGTAGGCTGGAGTTTCTTTCAGGAGGTAAGCCAGTCCAATAAGCAAAGACATCATGGAAAGACAGCAGAACCAACCAAGCGCTGCTTGCCACTGAATAAAAACAACAAACATTGAAAGCTGAAGTCAAGGGTCGGAATTATGTGTTATTACACCTATATCCTTAATTCCTGCTTATGCAGAGATCATTCTTAAATAACTAGATGCATTTTTACCAACTTTTTAGCTAACTTGAATACAGAACTACTTTTCTAATGAAGAGCTTCAGTTATTCCATGTTAATGTGAGGAAAAGATTAATGTACATTAGATTTGCTGAAGACACTCAAACAACTCCAAGAAAAGGTAAAAAAAAAAGTCTAAATTCTTTGTAGTTTTTTAAAACCAAGTTAATTTATCAAGGGCTGGCAAATTTAGCAACACAGTCAATTTTATTATGGTAAGGTCTGATATCAAATCATCTCACCTTTTCCTTTAAAAGCTGACCTTTCTTTGTTGTCAGGTGTATCCCTGTTAGGATCCCTATCAGAAACGGTCCATACCTCGTGTAGGGTTTCACGTAGTAATACAAAACGTAGTTGTCCGTTGTTCTGCAAAGACAAACGCATCAAGGTAAGAGAGGTACATTTTCTGTTTTATGGTTAACATAACATTTTATTTAGACAGGATCGTCATGGTGGAGGATTACATCGTAGATGGCTGAAAGACTGGGAGGTGCAGGCATGCAGTTATAGCTGCACTGGTTACAGTAGAAATCACCAAAAGGCTTCCTACCACAATGGCAAACACACTCCTTTTACTGAAACAATGGAGACAGAATGTAAAAGGATTTTATTCCAGTGTTTATAATACTTGGGATGATGTTAAAGGAAGTGCACATACAATCTGTAAATATAGACCAACAGAGGGGTAGTTGCATAGCACTGGAAGTCTAAAGACAGGTACCATGTCCAGGGGATACACTGAGGAGAGATTTAAAGAGAAAATATGAGGAAAAGGGCAAACAAAACAAAACCTGAAGAGTCGCTTAACTTACAATCTCATGTACTGGTAGTAGATTGCTAATTAGCAGCACGTTAGCCCACCAGTATGCTTTACAGTCCATCAGTGTTTCTACAAATGGGAACCAGTAGGGACCCCACTGGACCAAGGAGATGAGGCTGACAGTGAGACACATTGTAAACAGATGCAGAGGCTGAATCCTGGAGCAGGAAGACGAGGAGAGAAATATAACATTTAACTCCTCATTTTATATTAATATTTTTATATTAACTTTAATGTATTTGCATTATATGTGATCAGCAGACAAAAGGTAGGCCAGTATTTTGACATAGAAGGATTTTAGTTCTTACTTTAGGAGTATTTTTTTTCTTCTCACCTCACTTCACTGCAATGCCCTTTAATAAAAATCTAAGAGAACTAATTAATGAATAATGTTAATCTGTGTCTAATTCAATCTATGTATAATCACAACTGTTCTGTTTGAGCTTCAGATATTTGAACAACTCAATAACAAACGATAAATCATAAAAACAAAAATCAAATTGATATATCATAACAATTGTACACTAAAAAAAGTCTCCATTGCAACCCCTAACCCCTCCTCAAGGGAGCAGCAAGCAGCCTGAAGGGTTTTATTAAAGTGCTTGCTCAGGGGCGCAGAGTTTGAGTTTCACTTAGGTTTGAACCGATGATCTTGCAGCTTCTTCAGAATGCAAATGAACTGCTGTCCTACTTCCAAATACCAAGGAACAGTGCAGACATGCCAAGGAGGGGGAACGTAAGAATCAATCAATATTATAAGTAAGATCCTATAAAAAATTTGATTGGATTGGGGTGAAGGTTTATCTTTGTTTACACAAAGGAAATAAAGCCTACAGCAAGAAGGCTAATGACCAGATGGGTTACAAAGAAAGGGTCAGCATGGCGTGACCCATATAGAGTGACGTTCACTGAACCTTTTAATTGCATCAAACTCAGCTTGAGGTGTTTTGCTACCAAAAACCTGCAGAAACTTTAGCCTCTAGATGTACAAGCTGGTAGACACGTACCAAAATTCTTTATTGTAAGGTATTAAGGAAGTAAGTTACACTGTTTTGAAGATTTTTCTCCATTAAAAAAAAAGAAAAAACAAACAAATGATATACTCTTTAAAAACAGAACATGATATCCTTGTTGATCTGTCACATAAAACCCTAATGATGAAATCTATAAATCAGGTAAGAATTATTTCTCAGGTTGCAGTAAAATAGTGATCCATAAGAGACTTTGCCTTTTAATCCTCTTGAAGAGATAGTTTGCAACCAAACCGAGACTCAGATGGTCTTCTGCCTTGTTGATGGAGCTCAGCAAAGATCTGGCACTTAGCAAACCTCTGAAACAGCAAAAATGTGAAGTTTAGAAGTTTAGAACCATTTTTGCACCATAAAATCTTCATAAAATGTTCTCACCCAAGCAATAGGAAGGTATCAACAGCCAGAAAAACAGGGCCGCTAATGGTGAGCACATATGTTGGACTACTTTGAACAGCCTTCCTCCATGTTTTGTAGTTATCTAAAACAGAGACTTGGCAACATGAAAAAAAAGTTTTTAAAAAAGTAAAAATGAGTCAAATGACTCCTTTCTTTCATACCAAGGTTGTTAATTACTGGGAACTGTGCAGAGTGCCCACATATAATCCACAGCAAACTGAGGACACGTATGCCATTCAGAGAGGCATACTTGTCACTTTGGACAGAGGGGAGCGTGCTGAAGACTCCCTTGCTTGTTGTCTGTAAGGCAAATGCTCGAAAGCAGCTAGAAAGACAACTTTGAGAAATATCTTCTGCAACAGGGTTGATCCTACCTGCAAAAAAGAAATGACTGGATATAGGCTCTGTGTAAATATAAACAATCAGACAGAATTTGCAACTTACCATTTTCCTGTAATGTTTGGCCATTTACTTCATTGCCAGATAAGCCATTGCTTTTCAGAGTGCCATAAAAGTTTGAAAGGGAAATATGCTCTGTGGGACTGACCATTCTGCTTGGGTCTGACCTTCTTAGGGCTCTGAGAAGGGTAGCTGCAAGAGGAATGGCTAACATGACACAGCACACACACCTGGGGAAGAAAAGTAACCAGATTTCAATCTCCCAAAGGCATTTAAAAGACAAACATCCACTTTACATAGAGGAATATCAAGGATAAAAAGAGATGACTCATTTACTGACATGCAAGCTACGCTTGATGCATCAAGAGTAACTGCGTCGGCTAAACAGTGAGTCATGATTATGTCCTGATAAGACTGATTGGTCAAGATGGGAGGTAATGGACTAAGGAGAGACCTCTGGTTGAACTGAAGTCCGTCTGTTGAAAAATTAATCACAGAGGAGACAAAAAATGAAAGTGAGCAAAAACCATAAAATTAGATCTGCAGAAGATTTGTTGTCAGAATCCCTCACCACACTGCACAATGCGTTCCACATCTTGCTCCCTGCAGGAGTCAGGGAGACAAATACCCACAAAATACTGGATGGCTCCCTGAAGAAACAGGCGAAAAAACATTTTATTTTCTCTCAACCTTAACATGTGTTGGCCATAAAAGTAAGTTAGACTATTTACCTGCTTCAGGAACACCTGGCAATACTGTGCAGAGAAGCCGGGGCCGATAGCAGAGCGACACTGCTGCAGGGAACCGGGCTGATTCACATTACCATCTTTAACACTGCTGCCCATCTTTCCAAAGGAATCATACACTTTTAAAAAGGAGGAAAAACAATTATGTTCTGTCACAAAGCAGCTAATAAAAAACAGTATAACAGTATAACTTTTCTTTACCTTTGCTCACTGCTATGTATTATTTTTCCTTATATGTTTTTATAAGATTATAACATGTTAATATACATTTTATTTCAATATTAAAAAGGTTATATTAGATCATCTAGAATGTGTTCTGGTGAGGGTAGTTTATGCGAGGGTAGTTTATCAGATTAAAAGTTCCTTTTGGAAAGAACAACCTTTAAGCAAGTATTAAAGACACTTTTCATTCAGCCCACATTTATGTTTTTTTTTTTATTATTGGCAATCTTGAATTTAGTGTTTTCATTAAGTGTATACAAAAAAATAAAATAAAATAAAAATCAACAATTTGCAGAAGGGCCTAAAATTATAATGTGACTTGCTAAGTGATGGGGTTAGTGAAATACTTTGGATCTCTGCAGCCAGTCTGCAAATGATTGTTGTAACTAAACAATAGAAAAGTTCATACATTAAAACACTCCTATGAGGACAGTTTAATGTTACCTCTAGTCTGTCTGAGTTATTAACATGGATTGCAGGTGTGAACAAAATAATGTTCTATTTTAAAGTTGTTTCCAAAAAAGTAATAGTTTTTGGGGATTATGCATAACTAACTAGGTTACTCCATTTGTTTTTATATATTTTTTTATCCAATTAAATTTGTTTTTTGGGATTTACAAAAGTATATATGCTAATTACATTGAATGTAACATTAAATAATCATTAAAGACCTTTATCCAAATTTCATTCTCTAAAGTGGTAATACTCCTTTGTAAGCCAATGTACATGATCTCATAATTTTGGTTAATGTTTGTTTTGGGTAACTAAACTTTTTAGTTTATTTTAGCATTTTCTTTTTTCAATCTGCAAAAAAAAATAAAATAAAATAAAAAATGCATTCACCATTCTGTTTATAGTACTGTACTAGAATAAAATCAGAATATGGACCAGTTTCCTTAAACAAGTTCTTGATTATGTTAAAATCCTTATTGTTTTACAGTGAACCTCATCTAATTTGCCTAAAAATGCTACTGAACAGACAATAAACGAAAAAGGAAGGTGACAACACTTACTGAGAGTAGCATATTCCTTTGGCTCATCTTGGTTTAAATCCCAAAGGAATATGTTAATATCCTTCATACATCTTTGTGATACATTGCAGTCATGATAGTTTCCAAGTGTTCCACTGTTGTTTACCAGCAGCAGAAACACAATCCAACCAATGGCCATTTCAAAGCTGAATGCAACTCCTCCATCCGCAAAGTGTTTAAATATTTGAAAGGAGAAGATCACCAAGGAGAGAGAAGCATGAAATTCATTTTCTAAACTGGAAATGGAAAAAAGCTTTGGAAACTTTAGCCGAGACCTGGTGGATTTTCTGCTTGAGGTGTGAATTGGATTCATTTACTCAGAGGGATCAGAGCTGAAGACGTCACTATGCATGATGATAGCTGGAAAATGTGGAAACCTAATAATTATGGCTTCACCAAAGAGTCAAACATCAAACCAAATTATAATATTAGCTCAGCACATTTTAAATGATTAAAAAAGTCATATTGAGCTGTTCTTTTTAAAAAAAAAAAAAGTATATTTTTAAAAACTGCTACTATATGACAGTCAGAGGAGGATAGCTATATTTACTTAGTAACTTCTCAGAAAAATGTTCTTCTAGAAATAGTTTTGATAAACTGTACATTTAAGCTTTGAGGTGAGGTATATTGTTTTAAAGTAACTCTACTTTTAATTTGGAACAATCATTTGGTAAAAATGGTCAATTGTAATTTATCTTACCGGTACTTCCAGTTTAAATTTGGCTGTGTTCTGATAGTCTCTAAATTCCAGAATTTTCTCCTGAATTTTTTTTTTTTACAAATTGAATCCAGTGTTTTTTTTACAGTCACTTAAAATACCTTTTTCCTCACCTAGGACCTAAATATTATTTTGAATTACTAATTTTTACTCTGGCTTGAGTATTACAGCAGTGCTTCTCTGACTTCAGTAAAACTTGTATGTGTTTTACCCCTCTCTGATGATGGTACTGTTCATATTATTTATGGTAGAACAACCTAGTGAGTCAACAGCAGCACTTTTAGTAGAAATATACCTGTATTTATTCTATACAGTAATGTACCTTGATACCATTAATACAATTTAGTACTTTAAAGCACAGTGAAAGTGTGTTTTAATACACTCTAAGTACCTCAATAAGAGCACTTCCAAGGACTGTCCTCTAGAGGGAGAAGGTGTCTCACTGTAAAACTAAGAGAACCACAGCTTATTTACAGCTTCTCCTGAGCTATCACTGTAGTTATGCTTATATGTTTAGGTTTTTTTTAGGACATAGGGAGCACTTTTCATCATTTTTCTAAATTCTATTCCTATTCTCCCATTCTGCTTTATTCGTTAGTTCCATGCCTAACTTTATGTTCTTGCTGTTTTTTTCTCATCATAGTACCTTCATTTGTTTTGTTCCTGTTGAGTTTAGCTTGTTTTCTTGTTGTTTAGTCTTGTTTCTCACCTTGACATAGCTATGGGCTCAGCTTTTAATCTCACTAGTTGTGTGTCCTTCCTTTCTTTCCTTTAACATGACAATGACTCAAAGATTTCTTTCCTGAACAGAGTCCCCATGGAGCTGGTTTATGTTACCTTTTCAAAAATACTGTATAAGGAATCAGTACTTCTATGTTCCTCTTGTATGTCAGCTTCCTTTTATACCCTCAGTCTGGACCAGCCGTTTGATTCGCTGAGCTTGGTTTTGCTTGAGGTTTTTTCTGGTTTAAAGGAAGTTTTTTATTTCCACTATCACTGGATGCTTGCTTGGTGTAATGGATTGCTGTCGAGTCTATGACAAAATGGAGTCAAGCATCTACTGTCAATAATTAATAATTGGATGGTTTTTGCTTTAAATAGAAAACTTTTAACCAATCTGACCATATTATCTGATTATCAGATTTATCAAATTGTCTCTGTAAAGTACGTTTTATACAAAGTGGAGCTGTTAATAAATGACAGAGCTTATTTAAGGACACAAGTTTGCTCGGGTTATAAGACCTTTTCACATGATAAATGTATTTTAAGGCTTAGTAAGCATTTTTAATGCAGAGTAGCTTGAGAGGTTCTGTCGGATTTAACACCAGTAGATGAGAAGCTTCTTACTGTTTTTTTCTATGGAAGCACTGATGTCTAAAATGCAGTTAGAATCAGGTCACTCCTTGTTTCTCCATTTATTGACATACAGAATATTTTTTGCACACAATCATAAGAAATGTTAAAAAACTGACAGAAGCAGCAGCAAGACACGTTATAATTAATACATAATTCACAGACTGCTCACATGCAGTTTAACAGTGCAAAATATTCAGAGACTGGTCACACTGTGGATGGGGTTGGGTGTAAAAAGCTGAGAAGTTTCTAAATTTACCTCGGAATGCTTAAAAAGAAAGTGTATAGTTGTTTTTAGTTGAATTGACATTTCAGTGATTGCTTATGAATCAGTATGTCTCCTGCTGTAGATTTCAGTGAAACCGGTTTGGAGAATCAAGAATAAACGCTCATATTGTGAAGCTAACTGCTTTTCAGGGCTACACTTATTTAAGAGAGGCCTTACATAACAAAGCATTACTCAAGCTTCAACGAGGACCTATTGGGGTAATCCTTTTATATTGCTACCAATTTTTTTGTCTGCTAGTTTGTTATATTTCAATAACTCCAGTCATAAAAAAATATTTTAGTACCAGACAAATACAACTAACATTAATTAAATAAGACATTTTACATTTGCTTATCTTGTTAAATTAAGAAGAAACAATGATTAACCACATGTTTTAGTTCAGTCTCAATCCAGGCCTGTTTACTGCTTGGCCAGCAGATAAAAAAAAAAAAAAAAATGTGTTAAATTGATCCTGTTGGACAACATGAATAGGCTTACGGATTTCAGAGAGAAAAAAAAAACCCATCATGAACTGATCGAGAGGAATTTAAGAACAAGTGAGAAACTAGGTTGTTGACACCACCTATCATTTTGGTCTTTGGGATGCTAGGGAATCTTTTATCCCTAACAGTAATCATGCAAAGCGGAGCTCAAAATGGGATCATACCAATATCTAAATCATCTGATCTGATTCAGCTAAAATGGCATACATGGAAGAGGTTTAAGGCCAGAATCAATGTTGGCAGAAACCACACGAAACCCTTAAAATTGACACCTGAATAAAATATTCTTTTTCTGAAAGCTTAGTTGAGTTCAGACTGCTGTGTTTACTGGTAAAGATTTTAGTCTCTTTCTAAAACACTTGACTGATAACATAGTCTCCTTCTGGATTTCTCTGTCATTTCTGAAAGTTATGACCCGGCAAGAAGAATTTATGTTTTCCTGCCTCTCACTCACCAACTGAGGTAATGACAGTGTCATGGTCTTTGACTTGTATACGTTTCCCCAACTTTAATGAGATCAGCCAATGTTTAATTTGATGCTAATTAGTTTTTGACATTTTTGCACATTCAGACTGGTTGTGTCAAAGCAATTCAGCTGCGATTCTTATGAACAGAAAAAGTTATTTGCTGGTGTCTAGACGCTTGATAGTTGTTTTTGTTTTCTTTGTAAGATAATTTTAACCTTCCAGTATTTCTCACTCTTGTCTGAAACAGTTATGTCTGATGTTCACTACTAGACTAAAAAATAAATGATAAGGGACGAGGATTAGTTGATAAGTTTCACTAGTCAACAAGAACCTTCTGACCACTCAAAAGTAGAGAACAAAACCTGACTTGATAAAACAGAGTATTAATTTAGATAACGCCATTTAAAACACTATTGAAATTGTGTTTTATTTCACCAGTTGTGTGCTATAAATTAATTAGCTTCACTACCAAGAATACATTCATTTTTATCACTACTCTAGGCAGTGCACATTCATGATGATCCAACATCAGCCACCAAGTTAGAATATAAAAATATACAAATAAAAGGAAAAGAAGCTAGACACAGTTCAGTTAAATAATAATGTTAAGCAATGTTAAAATTTCATGTCCTATTTTCACTGTGCTTTAAAGAAAAGATACAATATTATATGCAGCGAAAAGGCAAGTGCTTGATATATCATGTTTTAAGTATTTTGGTAGAAATATATTTAAGTGATCTTTAATTTCACAGAGCTGCCATTAAGAGAATAAAAAAACAAATAAAACAATAACTTTACAAGCTTGAACAAGTGTTCTTAGATTTGGCCCAGCGTTATTTTGGAACAACACATTAAGTGTTTTTCGATTCATCAGGCTTTTTAGCTGACTTTTGTTGAATGCAGTTCATTTTTAATTGATTGTCCATAATTCTTCGGAAAGATCTGCTCACCCTCAAAGGTCCTCTGGATTATTTTGTTTAGGCATTGTGAATTTTTACTGTGGGTGTTCAACTTCAGTCCATTTGTTGTATATATGAATTGAAAGCATTGTCTGAAAAAAAGGTTCTCACAAAGAAAAAAGTCCTGTACATGTACTTTAAAACTTTTTTTTTCTGTCAGACATTCAGATATTAGCAGTACTCAGTAGACTACCAAGAATATGTAAATTATTCTCATGATTTCGTACATTATCATGTCGTAGTGAGAAGAAAACTGTGGAGATAAACAAAATGTCTTTAAAAGATCTGTTTAAAAATGTTCTTGTTATATCTGCTTAAAGACACAGATGGAGACTGATGTGTTTTACAATTACTAGCACATATATTCTACTGTTTACATATTGTTGTACACTACAACATCATGTAATTACAGGTTATCCACAGATAAATGAGGTACCACAGGTTTTGGGAATCTATGGAATGGTTACTTTTACTTTTGAGCAGCACTAAGTGTCTTTGACCTTATGAACGCCATCCCATGTGTCCTCATGTGGGTCTTCAGATGCCCCTCAGTGTCAAACGTCTTCCCACACACCTTACATTTGGTATTTGGTGTTCCATCGTTGTTCTCATCTACAACATCTATCTGGTTTTCCCGTTGACTGTCTTCATCTTCCCTGCCTCTGCCATTGTATCGGCCAAGGCCCTTAAGCTCCTTCAGCCGATGAACAATGAAGAGGTGTCGGGCCAGAGAACGGGGGGAGGTGTAGCAGAGTCCACACTCCTGACACTGGTGGGATGAGCCATCAGACTTGTGCTGTGGAATGTGCTTGTGGAATGCAGCAATGTCCTCAGTAGTAAAGCCGCAAACGGCACACTTGTGATTTTTTAGTATGTTAACTTTGAGTCTCTTTAATGGCTGTGAGTCGGAACCCCTGGAATTCAAGCCTGGAGACCCCTCTTCTTCATCTGGCTTTCTCTTGGGGCTTCGGCTCTGTAAAGACAGCAAAAGATAAAGACCTCATAGTTAAAGCTTTGCCATAATAAGCAAAACTCGATGGCATCAATCCAAGAAAGGATTCAGCATATTAGTGTTGCGCCAATTTTTGGCCCAGATACCGATACCTGGCTGTGCAGTATCGAACGATACTGATACCATCTGTTTGAAATTAATGGGAGTGTGTATATACAGTATGTGGAAATACATAATACTTGGATGTATATAAATTTCCACCATGTCTTTGTCAAGCTGCTGCCTACCTTTGTGAAGCAGGAAAATAAGACAAAGTGAATCCAGTAGAACTTTTTATTGCCTACCTGGAATTGGCGACAATAGTTGAATAAACTTTTGGCTCTCAAAATGGTATCGGTGCCCTATTTGCCGGTACTCGCTGATACCAATACCCCCATTTTAGTACTGGATTGGGGCCTCGCCTGATACTGGTGTCGGTATCGTTGCAACACTAGTAGAAACAAAACTGAAGACTAGCTAACAGTGGGTCCCTGGCAGTACGTGGCATTTTCAACGATGCACTGTCAGGGACCCAGTACTTTACATACAATCTTATCCATAAGTTTTGTTAATAACTTTTGTCAATGCTGTACAATCTATTAGCTCTAAATCAAATCATAAGATTTTAGTTTATATTTTCTTGCTTTTTATTTGGGATGTACCATATAATCACCATTTTATCGGTACTAGCATTATTGGAAGGAAAGGTTGAACTTAATAATCATAAGAGCCCCTATCCCAACTGTTATACTGAATTCATGGTGGCAGGAAGGAAAATGAGGTAGCAGTCAGTGGACTAGAATCAAATCTCACTAGCAGTCTCTTTTCCAAGCCCTGGAAAAAGTCAAAAATACGATTAAGACCGCCAATGTTTCCCTGGCATCTTTCTTTCTTCCCTTTGCCTAACTCCGGATCTGACAGCCTTAATCTGCCTCTTCATGTTCAACCTCATTCCCGTATCCTTAAGATTAACCCTTGGATTCTGTTAACTGTTGCTGCTTCCACAGCTTCAAACCAGTATCTACTCCTTGATCACCAATTCCTGTAAACCTCCATGGGTTAGAAAACCTCAGGCTTCTTCTGTGGCTGTGACTTTGATCAGACCTTGATGTCAAACTGAGAATTTACATGAACTCAACTCAGTTTTATCTATAAAGTCATTTAAAACAACCACAGCTGCCACAAAGTACTGCACATATCAGGTAAAGTTGAAATAGTATAAAAATAACATACAAGTTTAAATGACCAAAAACAATTACAGTAAAATAAATGCATTTAAACAAATAATACCAAAAATAAAACATAAAACAAATCAAAAACACAAAAACAAAGAGAATCTCATGCTGTGTTAAAAGCCAATGAATAAAAAAAGATTTTAAGAAGAGTTTTAAAAATAGACAGCTAAGAGGATTGTCAAATGAGGAGGGGGAGATCATCCCAAATTTTTGCAGCAGTAACTGAAAAAGCTCTGTCCCCTCTGAGCTTCTGTTCGGACCTCGGTACCTCCAGGAGCAGCAGGTCAGCTGACCTGAGGCACCGAGTAGGAGCATAGGGGTGAAGAAGCTCAGAGAGGTAGGGAGGGGCAAAGCCATTTAAAGACTTAAACATAAATAAAATAATCTCAAAATGAACTCTAAAATGCACAAGCAGCTAATGGAGGGCGGCCAGGATGGGAGTTATGGTCTCCCTCTTATGTACTCCAGTTAAAAGGCGTGCGGCTGCATTTTGAACCAACTGGAGACTGGATTATGGTTTCAAAGTGCTGCTGTGCAAGAAAAGGTTTGACCTAGGCCAACTGTCATTTGATAAAAACTGGACATAAACATACCCCGAGGTTTATAAATAAACACAGTAAGAAGATGATTTTCAATCAACATATTAAGTTGTTGACCCATGCAATTTGTACCGTTTGCTTGTCAGATGGAGTTTCAACCATTTCTGTCCTTCCTGCTGGGTGTTTTCCGCCATGGATCATCTGAATGTGCTGATCCAGCAGCACTCTTTTTGTAAAGGGTTGACTCAGTGCAGGACAGTGCCTGTTGAAAAGTAACATCATAATTAAGAGAAACATAATGTTTTTTGTTGTTTGTCTACATAAACTATGTAAGTATTTTCTTTTATGGCACACTTTTAAGCATCTTACAATTAACTCAGTTAGTATGATGGAAACTAGATAAAACCTCTACTCAACCTCAACAAAGTTCAGCTCTCTTTAAAATTGATATCAGAGTCAAGCATATATATTGACAGTTTGTAGTTGGATTAGGCTCTGTCCTCCTTGTGATGCCTGCAGGTTTATTGAGCTCAAGCAGTTTAAATTTATTCATATTTATTTCTTCTGACTTCAAAGGATGCAAAATGTTTAAGTTTAATTCTGATTTTGAGTCAATAATCAAGATTTGTGATTAATGTGTGGATGCTTTTTAGAAATAAAAAGAATCTGGGGAATATTAATGACAAAGAAAAAAGCTGGAACCATAGTTAGATTATGTAACAAAATCACAAGCTTATGAATGAAACTCTTAAATTTGTTTTTGTATAAGAAATTAAAGAAATTTCAACTGATTATAAAGCATCTATTTCCAATTCAAACATTTGGCTAAAGAATTGATGTTTGTTTCTGTCTGCATAATTTAGACAAGAACTGTCTGGTATTTACAAACTAATATACAGCTTTTTACCAAGAGCACTTGGAAATACAGGCATTGGTTAGTAATGTGCTTAAGTGATTGGAAAAAAACTCTAGGACATAAATACTCACGGGCATGTGTAGACCTTTCGGAGCCCTTTGTGTTTTAGCCGGTTGTGTCGGCAAAGACTGTGGGAGGAGCTAAAAGACTTATCACACTGTCGACATGGATGCTTCTTCAGTATCTGCAGTTTGAAAGATACATCCAAAAATACACAAAGCTTTGAAAGCAATAGAAACAGCTTCCAGAATCTTTGTTTTGGCATAATACTCATGGCTGATAAACAGTGAAAAAAAAGTTAAACTTGTGGAAGTGCTTCTCCATAGTTTATGAATTCAGCTTCAAGATTATTTTGTCTACGGCTACTATTCAGTTTACTTTGGAAAACGAACAAATCAAATGTCAGCAGCACCAAAACATACACTTCAACGTTCAGAGAAAACAATATCAGATCCTAATTAGGATGATTTATAAGACCAGCAATAGCTTCTGTCTCCTGTTTTGATTTAATCACATTTTTAAGCTTAAAACCTATTACGAAGGTGGAGTTAACCAGAATCAGAGTAACGGTTCAGAAGTTCAGGTGAGAAAAAAAACTCCCAAAAAACCTCAAAAAATACATGGATTGTCTTTAATTTTTTTTTTTTTTTATTTAGTTCGTAGCTACCGTTGCAAAAAATAAAAATAAATAAATAAATAAAATAACCTGCAATCTATTATGTCAATCAACACTGTTCTTTTACAGTACTGAAGAAAGAGTCACCTTGCCATGTTCACGCCTCATGTGCGTCACAAAGAGCTCCCTGGACTTGAGAGAAGCGTTACATTCCCCACATATGTAACCTGAGCCAACAGCGCTCCTCGGATCTGCTGTACAGTTGCTGTTGGTTGTCTTCAGAGGTGATGATGAAGACTTTTTTTCTCCCTTGTCGTGAGAAAATGCATTTGCTCCATCTTTGTTGTTAGTTTTAGGGATGTTGCTGTTGGTGCTGTTGGAATTTGTGGGCTTTGTGCTGAGTGGGAGGTTGATACCCAAGTTTGGTGGACCCTCTATTGTCTTCAGGGTTCCATGGATGGTCTGAGAAGAGTCACAAGAGCACAATTTTAGCCTTTACCATACGAATGTTCACAACTGAACAGAATTAATGTGTTTGAAGTTATTGACTTTAGATGGCATAGAAGAAGGTTTTGGTTGCGTTTGTTAAGTATGTATAGATTTTATGTATGGCTGAAGCATGATATATTAAAATATTTTTTTTCGGATTACCTTGATGTGATCCAGCATGAGCTGTTTCTGTGCGTAGTGCAATGAACAGTCAGGGCATTTGAAAATGGAAACCTTGAAATTCGGAACATGCTGATCAAAATGTGTGCAGAGCAGGGACTGTAGAGTGAACACTGTATCACACATGGAGCATTTATATATCAACCTGAAAGAAAGGAAAAGTCACAATTATTAGTTTTATATGTTCTCTGTATTTCCTATTAATCTTACATAATTATTTTTTGAATGTCTGAACTTTGTGAGCAAAGTGGAACCAAAATTCTTTGCTGTTGTGCACCAACTTTGCCAATGAAGTTTAATGCTAATGCAAAAACAGATTAATGTATGTTATGTTTTTTTTCAGCATTTGTTGACTGTTTTCAGCAATAACTTTGGAATTTGCCATAAGTGCACATTCTCAATATGAGCCAAATCTGTTGTTGCACAACAGCTGCTTCTGAGCGGGTTTGTCATCAGTGCTGCTGACGTTGGATATTGCATTATACCGTAAAAGGTTTCCACGTGGAAAAATAAGAAAATACAAGTTAAGCTGCCACATTCAAAAGCTGCAAATCCTTTAACTTCTAAGGAAGCTACGGTTGTTATCTAGAGAGAAAGGGTTTGGACATGGGTTTTAGATTACATTAGTGTAACTTGAGTGGGTAAAAGAGGGTCTGGATGTCTGGTGAGATGTAGACTTTTGTGTCTATCAACAAAAAAATCATAAAAAGGTTGACAGAAAATAAGGTTTATGGCAACCTAAGATAAATCAGCTGTTCCACTGAGTGTACAAAACTGTAAAACTTAGATAATTTATGCTAGACACAATGCAAACATGTACTCTAAGGACATACTTGGGCTCTCCTGACTTGGCTCCCGGATGCTGTGTGTATGCATGGGAGTGAGTTCCTGGTGCAGACTTGAAAGCCATGGGGCAGAGAGGACATTTGTAGAAGACCTCACAGTGCGTGTTCTGGATGTGAGCCTTGAGAGTCGCGACATCGGAAAAGATTACACTACAGTGGATACAGCTAGATGGAGAAAACATAGAAACACAAATAAAAATTGACTCAGTATTGACCTACAAAAACCTGAGCACAATGCTTTTTTTGCATCTAATCTTAAATTGCAGGAAGACATATCCACTGCATACAAAAGACCAAGGTAAATTTAACGAAAGCAAATTCATAAAGCTCTTTCAAAACTTGTTTTTAAAAGTGACTGGTAGATGCTACAAATGGGCATACATGATAAACAAATGTGCAACCCTTTTTTGGATTACATATAAAAAATAGTTAAGGATGTTATATTTTTCATGAAACACATTCTACGATATTCCCTTTTCGTATCATAAAACACATTTCCTCCATTACAATAACTTATTTTTAGCTTTAGATTCATTATAAAAGTACAAAAATGACTTGAAACAACAATTTTGATTTTTTTAAAGAAGCAAATCATGTTAACATGAGTAATAACGTATGGGATGTGTTAAAAAGAAAATAACTTAAATTATGCAAAAAACCGAAGAACCAGAAGATACTTGATACCCCCTCTTAAATGGCTCACAAAACAAAACAAGGTTTTGGAGTTGCATTATCAAATCCACATTAAATCCACAGCGATGTAAGAGATTATTTGACTGTAATGGCAAACGCATCTGGCAGCTGTCGGTGCCAAATTTAAAACAAACAGTTGTGGGGGCAATTAGTATTTCTAGTATATTTTAATACGTTTTTCTCTTTCTCCAAAAACTCTAATTGTAATCCTGAAAATACTAATACTCATTCTTATTTATTCTTTATTTTCTGGATAAAAATGTGTTGGATTAATACTTTTTTTAATGCACTGAGCATCAAAATCTTTATCTTTAATTTTTAAATTACCTATAACAATTTCACTGAATTTCACAAAGTGTTGCAATGATCCCCAAATGCTCTTAGATTCATTGAAAACAGCATTAGGACAATATTGAAGGCAGGCTTTGTAGTTTTCAACCATTCCATGTCTTGTTTTCTCTGTCGTTTAGCCCTTGATATGTTCATTCAGTATTAAACAGCATACCCGGCTCATTGAGAGCTAGCACATTACTTCCAACATACTATAACCATGGAAAATAATTAAAATTAATAAAAATTACACAATTTTAGTTTGACATGTTGCACTACATAAAACATGTGTTGTGTTTGTTAAAAAGTACAAAAAAAAAAAAAAAGAAGTCTTCACACTAACTCTTTGCTAGACACACAGGGACTTAATGAGGTGTTTTTCTTAAAGCGACAATACAAATACTTAAAGGTGCCAAACTCATGAATTTTACATTGTGTTATTGGTATGGTGTAAATAAGTGCTAAAATAGGCTTCATATTCTTGGATTAGGTGGATAGTTCAAGAAGAAGGAATTGTTTCACTTCATGTGACCTTTAAGTGAAAAAATGTTAGGATGTGATTGATAATTAGGGTTATAATGAGACCATTATTGCTTGAATACTAAATATGTTATTTTTCATGAGTATGTATCTTTGATGACTTAAGCACAAGAATTGTCCCTTTTGTCCCCTTCATTTTGTCCTTAATGACATGGCATATAGAGGATGTCAGGTGTCAAGCTGAGGACAAACTGCCAAGAAACTATCTAAATAACAGTAATTAAACAATTAAAATTGTTCTTTAGGCAAAAAACCACTTAGGAGGAAATGTGGCTCCTCTTTAACAAGGAATTGTTCACAGCCATTGAAAATGAAATCTCAATAAGAATGAAACAGCAGTTTCGTAACATTGTGGTTTTCACTGAGATAGACTCACCGGTAGCCGACTCTGCGAGTGTAGTGCAGGCAATTCTTTGTGACGTGGGACTGAAAGTGGATAGAGCGACAACTAGCACCGCACTCGGGGCAAATATAAGGGGACTTATGCTGGTGGATTCGCTGGTGTGACAGAAAGCTGCACTGATTCGGTAGAAGCATCTGGCAAACTGTGCATGTTTTCTATGAAAGGAGAAAAAAATACAGACATTCTACACACTGTTGGAAAAACCTTAAAAAACTGTATTATGATAACTCAATAATAAAACTTTGGGTCAGGACACAGAACAATGATGGTTTTGTCATATTTGCAAGATTATGCCATACTTATATGTAATTCTAAATATTACACATATGCTATACATTCTGATACTTAATGATCCATCCATCCATCCATCCATCCATCCATCCATCCATCCATCCATCCATCCATCCATCCAACAACCATGTACACACACACATTTCTTGGGGAAGTTTAAAGAGATAAAATGATATGGCTTGCATGTGTTTAGATTGTGAATGAAAGCTGGAGTACCAAGCATTCAAACACAGAACCATCTTGGGCAAGGAAACAATGGTAACAACCTTGTGACTGTACAGCCCTTGTAAAATGATAGTTTAAAAAAAAATAGTATTATGAAATAAACATACCTGATTGTTGGGTTCTGGTGTATGTTGATAGTGCATGGCCAGTGAACTGTCATCCTGGAATGTTTCATTGCACTCCAAACATTTCAAGTTGTGCCGACCAAGCTTTGATGTATCATCCTCCAAAGGCATGGCTGCCACAATGGGAGCACTGCTTGGAGCTGAAATCACTGTCGTTTGGCTACCACAAGCAATCTTAGTTTCGATTTGACTTGCAGGTGAATGTGCTTGAGACATAGAGGTGTTGCTATTGATCGTAAGGGGCACTGGTGATTTTGTTGAACTAATCATCTGATCTGCAGGGATGGGTTTTAGGATTAGATGTGAGCACTGCATGACCATCCCTTTATCCTTATGACCTCTGGCATGAGACAAAAGGCTGCATTTGTTGTAGAAAACCAAACTTTTGGCACAGTGGTTGCAGGTAACTTCGATACGAACACTTCGGCGTTCATAGTGCTGTGTCAGACTCTTCTCAAGAGCAAATGAGTCTCCACACTCCAGGCACTTGTAGCCCCTGGAGGGTAGAGAAATACAGGCTGAGGATGGTGGAGAGAGGTTTGGGACATATACAGGGAGAGGATTCAGGCTGCTTAGTACCTTATTGAAAGAATCTACTACAGGGCTTTGAGAGCTTGTAAACACCTGAACCCGAGAGACTTTCTTGCAGGTCTGGCCCGTGAGACCAGTCTGTTGTTTATTACGTTGTGATTGTTGATTTGGAGGCAGTTTGGAGGAGGACAAAACCTGTTGAAGATCACATGCAACAGGAGACACTGTCTGAGGAAGAAGGCTTATGTTGCTAAGATGTACTGTCTTTGGCACAAATTTAGTATTAGCCAAACTAGAGGCAGGTACTACGACAGTCTGTTGCTGAATAGCATTTGCAGCTTTCAAAATGGCACTGCTGGCACTTTGCACAGATGCAGCAGGGATTACCGTTGCTTTGACTGTAGTGTTGTTAGCCAGCTTTAGGTTAATTACCTGTGAGCCAGCTGTTTTGACTGCAGATACTGGCAGGAAAGCTGTTGCCACAGGCTTAATTGTCATTTGTTTGGTGATTTCAATTGATTGCCCCCCACTGGTTGCTACCACTGTTGTTGGCAATGAGGGTTTAGTTGTTGATGAAAAAATTGTGCTGGTGGTGGTCATAAGATCTGAGCTATTTTTTTCTTTTGTTAGGTCTTCCATATCTAATTCTGAAGGGACTCTAGTAACAGTGCGTTTGATCTGTCCAGAGGAGGTCTTGATTGTTTTAATCCTAACTTTTGGAATGACTGGGGTGTTGTCTGTGTTTGAAGAAGGGGAACCTTTGCTGCTGCTCTCACTGATGACACCAGAGGGACTGTCTGGTTCCTGAGTAAGTAGACTCTGTGTGAAATAGATTTCTGTCTCTTGCTCCCGTATGTTGGGGTGTTCTTTAGTCTTTTCAGGCCCCTTAGGTTTAGGTAATGAATCCAAAACATCTTCAGTGCTTACATTTTTGATGCATTGTGATGCATTAACTGCTGTACAGTGATGCAGTTCTGTTGATGATTTGGCTTTCACTTGGGAGATATCTAACAAATCAACACATCCTGGAGACTCACCAGCATCTCTGGACTCTTGACTTTGAAGTTTTAAAACAGTGTCTTCCAGTTTTTTTTCTGGTACGGATGATTCAGAGTGATTGTACAAACATCTGGCACGACTGTTCTTCACACTCTGATTCCTGTTTTGACCAGATTTGTGGTTTGCCTTTGTTTTGGGCATAGATACACAGTCGACAGCAGAACATTTTGAAACCTGGTGCTCCATTTTAGAAGTTGGGGTAAGGAAGATTTGAACTCCTTGCATATTAGTTGAATCAACGTCCTCATTTTTTTCCTCATCAAACTCTTCAGCACTCGCTATTGGACTAAAATGGCTCAGAGTAGAAGACTGAGAATTAATTTTATATCCATCATCTTTGGGAACTTTCCATCCATTCTTGATGTGATGAACAGCTGGTAGTCCTGTTGGTAAGCAGCCATTAGACAGTCCACTGCCAACATCATGTATTAGGGAATGGGAATTAAAATGCTCATCTTTTTCACATTTGGTACTAGGCTGTTCACTAGTATCCATGTTTCGAATGTTTTTTACAATTACGCTAACACCAGCATCATGTGTGTTACAAGAGTTGCTAGACTCGTCTTCATTGGCGGTCCCCGCGTTGCTCTGGGGCCTGAGTTGTCCATCTTGGTCGTCTTGGTGGCCAGATTCAATAGCAGCTTTAGGATCAACCATGTCAGGGATGTTAAAGGCTGCCAGTAGGTCATCAAAGTCTGGCGTCTTCATATCCCCCATGTTCCTTCCCTTGATCTGATGGGTAGGTTGCCTGTAATACACAGATTCATTTAGAGACAAATTTAACTGAGCTGGTTTATGTAATTCAAAAAATGTTCCTTTTGTCACAATTGTTTTAAAACATGATATTTTCCAAGAGAAGATGTTGATTCAGTATTCAATGTATAATTTGCATGCATATCTAAACACCAGCAACACATTTCTGAAATAATAATTTAAAAAAAAATCGATGCCTTTAAAAAAATTAGTTATAAGGTAAATGGTCTGTACTTATATGGTGCTTTTTCAAGTCACGAAACTTGACCAAAGCGCTTTACACAACATTCAGTCATTCATGCACAGACTCACACTCTGATGGTGGCAAGCTACATTATAGCCAGAGCTGGCCTGAGGTTCCCTGACAGAAGTGAGGCTGGTGTACAAAGGCGCCACCATGACCTCTGACCACTATCAGTGTCTTTTCCATTATTTTTTTTTTCAGTGTCTTTTCCAAGGTTGCAATGAAAAGCTAGAGCCAGAGGTTGTACCCACAACTCTTTGGTTGCAGGGCAATTTCCTGCATCCACGCTGCTGTCAGCCCATATAGACAGAAACCTTAATTTTGGGTTCTTGTTTTATGCCAATACATATATAAGTACAGTTGTTATGTAAAAATCTTGTAAGATCACATTCTCTGATTGTTTAAATGATAGGAAAATATTTGTACACATTATTGCAACTTTAGCACAAGTGTAGCTACACTTCCTTCTTAAAGTTTAAGTAATTTTTTTTTTAACAAAAACTTACTCAACTGTAACTGAGTGACTAATTTTCAAGAGCTTTCTCAAAATTTAGTCCATATCCACAGTGCCTGCAGCATGTAGAGGACTGAAGTAAATATATGTACTTCTTGTACAAGAATCACAGTGATCTACATGCAGCCTAAAAAGTAGACAATTTGTTTTGTAAACTACCCATGATATACAACTGCAGAATATTCAACCACTATACAGAAATGAACCCCCTCATGTACAGTAGTTAAAATGTCTGAAAAGACTTTTTCTCTTATCCATCCTATAGTCCTTAATATTTCTGTATTTACTGTGGACTTTCCCCCCATAAAAATGAATGATCTATATACTGTTAAACAAACCTTATTTCATGTTGCACTTTCTAAATCTAAATCCATAATCCTTAAGGTTACAGTAGATGTGCAAAACTTTTGCCAGTGATTCTGATAAAACAACTGGACTACCGCTGGAGAAAAAATGCTCCCCAAGAAAAGATCCTCAGAGATATAGTTGGAAAAATCCTTAAAATACTATAACTGGATGCTTCATATTCAATAATGTGACATATAGTTTATAATCATTATTTAATTTTAATATTTTTACAATAAATTAGTGTTGGCACCTGTTGCATCTTATAGTTAAGGTAATTCTCACATTTGTTATAGCCAGTTTCTTTACCGATGACTTTAACTTAACAATTTTTCTAAAATTGTATTGTACTGGGCATGTGCCAACACACACACACACACACACACATGTTGTTGCACAATATCCTTGTGGGGACCTTCTATTGACTTCCATTCATTTCCCACTAATTTATATGGCCTAACCATGACCCTTGCCCTAACCCTAACCATTACCGACACATACCTATCCCTAAACCTAACCTAAATTCAATTCACACCTTAGTCCTAAACCTAACCCCCACCCCAAGAAGAGAAACTTTCCTTATGGGGACCAGTTGGTGGTCCCCACAAGTACCTATGAGTCCCCAAAATGTGGCATATTCCTAGGAAATTGTCCCCACCAGGTATTAAAGACATGGTCAGACACACACACACACACACACACACACATATATATATATATACCGATATTCAGCATACTGTTGGATGCTTGACAGTACCCTTGGACGGTTTGACAGCACTGTCAAACCATATTGTTTGAGCTCTTATGCTACATTGCCAAGAAAAAAAATATAGTTCAGTCCAGGTTTTGGCTGTGAGGTTGGTACTGGTATATTAGATTAAGTAGCATACAAATGGGTCTTGTAGTAATACAATTATCTTTATCAAATAGGTAGACTCATTGTGAAATGTATAAAGAAAGCTAGCATAAAGCTTTTGTTCCAGCTTATCCTTAATCAGATAAAATATGTATATATTACACTAAAATGTTGGGTCACTGCTAGAAAACAAACTAGTTTAAATCATCTCAACAAATCTCTACAAGAAAAGGTGGTTAAACATACAGCATAATCTCCAAAGCTTGCGTATGGTTTTGGATGCTCGTTGATGCAATTTGGTTAGCTTAGATATATACAGCAGAATAAAGACATATTAGAGACGTTATGTTCAACACTTTTACCTTGTATAAATTGGATCAAGTAAACACATTTGCATCATGTTCTTTGTTATTGAAATTCATTGTTGTTGCATCTTTGACAAATTCCATTCTATTTCAGATAAATCATTCAAAGACCCAAATCAGCATGACATTCATGGGCATGAAAGCTTTTTTTATGCATACAAGAACTGCATGTGGTTCATGTTGTTAGATGGAAAATCATAAGGACTTGTGAGGATATAGCACCCAATAATTCAAATCGTCCCACGTGTCACATTTCGTTTTTATGCTTTTTGTTCACTTGATTAAACATTTTTTGCTGTTGTGTTTAGCTCATGGTTACGATCACCTTTACTTTTGAGTACAGTTCATGTGGCTAAACTCGGTACCGATAATGGATAAATTGATCTCACATACATTTCTTGAGTTTGAGTTAAAATGTCTGTATAAAATATGGGTGCTTGAGTTACAAACGAGGAGCAGGTCTTCTTCTTTACAACAAAAAACAGAGCAGTACTCTGATCAAAACACATCTGCACACTTTGACTCGTGACAAAAAAGCTAAATCTTTGTTTGCATGAAGCCATATTTGCTAACTTCATTCCAGATGTCTGGAATCATAGAAATGGAATAACAGAAAGGGTGAAGAAAATGAGAACAGAAACAAAGGGAGAGGGAAGGCAAACCCTAACTGGAGAAAAAAAAATGGCCGATGAGCTGCTGCAGGAGGGAGAGGGGGAAAGGCCTGGGTGAAAAACAACGAGTTTCAGCCATGACAGCCACAGCAGCCTGACGTATGAAGCTTTAATGAGGAAAAATGAGAAAAACACACAACACAGGATGGCTTTCTATACAAGCAGTTTAATGCACATGCACTTTTTTTTCATTAGGAATCAACACTTTATAACAGACAGCTGCTGTTTCAGTAAAGTGTATGTAAAATAATGGTGGAGACATGCAAGTGAATCAGCAAGTCCTCACCCTCTGGTCTTCGTTCTGTCCAGCCACTTAGCAAAACCTTCTTTCCTTGCTGCCTTCCATCCTGCAACAAACAGTCACAACACAGCTAGCCCACAGGAGGCATCCACCCCACCCTGTCTGGAAAAAAAAATCTTCCCAAACAGGCAAAGGCCCAGAATACAAGGTCAGGTTACATCCAGGCTTGTGGTGTGTGCTGGTGGTCCTGATAAGGATCGTCTTCAGTCATTCTCCGCACCACCAGCAGCATTCAAACATATAAACAGAGACATAGATCATGCTCCTGTGTTGAGTGTGTGTATGTGAATGTGTGAGGCAGGGCTCCGAGCAGCAGATTCATAGACTCCCATCCAGCCCCGTCCCCCTGCTCTCGTCCCTTCCCAAATCTCCCTTCTCCCCACGCCGTGCACCATGCAACTCTGCACTCCGACACTCAGCAGGCAGTGGTGCCCTGGTAGCCACCAGTGGTTTAGCCGTGAGGGGCTGCCATCAAGCAGTCTGGGCTATCGTTTCCTCGTGTAGCATAGAGACGGCATTGTTCCCGTCAGCCCTCAGTCTGCCTCAAACCGGTTTCAGCTGGTTCTGGTCACTCGACATAAAGGCTTTGACTGCTGCAGCACGGCCTCAAAAACGTACAGGAAGAGTGAGTGTGCCCACCTCCCAGGAAGTCCTGCGACAAATTCTTCCTTTAATAAATGCATCATAGAGATATGAAACTATAACCACGTTATAATAAGGTGGATGACTCCATTTCAGAGACATAAACAGACAAATAAGCCTGAAGAATGTGAATGCTTGGGCAAATACAGAATAAAAATAACCAATTAAAAATCAGCTTGCCAACTTGCAACCCTAATAATACCCATTACCATTTTGTCCCTTCCTGTTTTTATTTCCGATCTCTAAACTCCTTATGTATCTAAGTTTATATACTGTTTAATTTTGACATAGTAAAACACACAATTGAACATTTGAACACAATTTGATTATTATGCTTGAGGAATTTTATATGATACATTGTCTCCATCAGTTTCTGCTGGACTTGCACAGATTTTTATGCACCAGAGGAACATTTCCTACACTAAAATGTGTTCATGTGATTCCAGCATGTGATTCTGTTAGAGCAATTTTAGATTGATCAGGTGTCTCATTTTATACTCTATTTCCACAGCATCAGCTGGCCCAAATGTAGATCAGGATATATATATAAAAAAAAGCAATCAAGTTTTCCAATTTTTTGTCAGGTTTTAATTAGGTTCCAGAGGGGAATGGGTAGATTTAAGAAAATCTATTTAAATAAGTTGTCTTTATGGGTACCTCACATCCCCTTTCTAGATAACAACTGATGTTGACTCTATGGAATTGCCAGTGGTAGATGGTCCCATTTTGCACCCAAAATATTTTAGGTATCACTAAACAGCAAGGTAAAAATGGCAGAGAAAATGGGACTTATGGTGACTTGTGGGTATGAAATGGTGACAAATTGGAAAAGGGGTGAATTGAGTAGGAGATACATCAAATACATCATCAAATATGAAAACATCTGATGCCCTAATCAATCAAAAACAAGTATTACCAAACCTGATGCTAATAACTGAGCCACAGTAGGATATATCTAGATTTCATAAAATGCTGAATTAATTCAGATCATCTGACCTAACAATGCCAAGTACTGTAAGACATGTTTTTGTATTGTGAAACCATTCCCTTGTTTAAGTAATTATGATTGTAGGAGAGACTCAGTCTGGTCGGTTTCTTATAGTTAGCTCTCGATGGTTTAATTCCAGTTGCATGAATAGTGAACTGCTTCATATATTGTTATGTAAAGACGAGCCATCACACACCCAGGACACAATTCATGACGCACTTTCATGCACCTCCCTCAGTAGATTACTACTCTCTCCCATCTACACCCCCACAAAGACACAGATGAAGATGAACATGCACTCCCATGCATATATAGAGGTAAATATAGCATACCCTCGTCAGGTTTTTTATTTCCAATCTGAGAGATATCAAGGAGAAAAAAATCTTCAGCAGAGGCCTCAGCAGTTGCTTTTAACAGCCTACTGTTCCAGCCTGCTTCCTCCTCCCCCACCTCCACCACCACTTCTTCCCTCTCTCCTTCACTGGTTAGTTATCAGTCTCAGTCGAGGCCTTGTTTTGTCACAACACCCTCAAAATCACCACCTCTGCGGCTAAGGAGTGAGGGGATGGATGGCGAAAGGGGGCAGTGTTCAGCAAGCGAATGAGGCCTTTTGTCTCTAAGTGTGTAGCGGGGTGAGGGGACGCTCCTGTCTGGCTGGGGAGCAGGAACAGCAGCTGGTACACAGAGAAACAGACGAAAGGGAGGGAAATAGAGACAGAGGGAAGTGGGGGAGATAGAGGAAGAATGGAAATGACACAGAATATAGTTTAAAAGCAGGCTTTATTCTGTCCACACCACTAATGTTTAAGGCCTCTGCTCTGAAACAATCCCATAGAAAAAAAATGTGTTTGAAATAGATTAATGATCTTCAGCCTTTCTCCTCTGTCATGGGTAGAAATAAAACTGAATACCTAACATTGTGTGAAATTGTAAATGCAATGTATGTTTTAATGCAGAAAAAACATTAAAATAGTAAATTAATAAGACTGACATGAATAACAAAATATACATCCATGTTATTTTTTAATACTATTTCAGCCTGAATGCGAAGTCGTAGAAACATAAATAACACATTACTACAATGACAATGTGATCTAGAAATGGGTAAAGAAAATGAGGTATTTTGTAACCTACCTGAAGGAAAGAGACTGCCAGTAGGGTAACACAGCCTCTCTTAGGCCTGCTACTAGTCCTTGATTCATCTTGCAGATCTGCCAAAGGCAGCCAACAATGCTGCAGCATGAATTAGTTCTTCATCTTTATATGAAACACCTTACGCAGATGTATTTTTGCTTTAGTGCACCAATGCTTTTTAAACAGTGCAAAGGGCAGCAGAAGGTGAGCAGATATGTATATATGATAAAAGGCCCTAGCTGTGCCTACTGCCTCACTGCACTGTGACAGATTCGGTGCAGCAGTGGAGGTTGAGGTTGCTCCCCACCCCTTACAGAGTCACATGACGTCACACTACTGCCTCCATCCAAACTTGAAATAAGAAAGGCTGCATAAAGCAGTTTCTGCTTTCAGTCATTTCCCCCCCCAAGATCTATGTATGTTAAAGCTGTGGGGTTGTAGATGCCAATCTGTGTTAGCTTTTTTTTCATGCCTAATTTCGAGCTCTAAAGCTTTTTTGCAATGACTAATCAAACAATTAAGTGAAGGGCCTGATCTTGGTTCTCACTTGACCTATGAATCACCTGAAAGCAGCTGTTTACACACCTTCTCATTTGTGACATACTTGTCAGTCTCTCTGTAAAGATTATAAAGAGAGGTCACTTACATATTAAACATCCTTAGTCTCTTTGCCCTCCCTTAAACACTTTATTACACAAGCCCTCAGGTTCATGCTTGGATCCATCATTTTACGGGGTAATCTATAAATTTAATGTAATTTTGTTCAGGAACAAAAGGCTTATTTCCAACTGAGAAGTAAAAGCTAAATTATTTAAATGAATCTTTTAAAAAGCGATTAATGTGAAACTTTGTTCTTAAGGGTAATTTGCACAGCCTAGAGAAAGTGTTAGGTCTTGGGTCAGTTACGGCCATGTTTCAACCACCTGTTATGATCCTTAGGTGGGTTTTTGTATTCATTCGTTCATTTATTTAATTTCTTTGTGTTCAACAATGTCCTTGTCATATTATTTCCTTCCAATATCTTGTGTTCTATTCTTTGTATTCAGTTTATTCTTTTTACGTCACAGTTACCTCTTACTCACACAGAGTCCTTTATCAATGTGGACTCTGTTTCATAAAACTTAGAAGCCTCTCTAATCAGTGTGGTCATTTGTACAGACTCTGTTGCGCTGCAGCGTTACAAATAGTTCCCTTCCCTCGTCCATCAGACATATGGATGTAGTTTATTTATGAGATTAGATACATCAAATTTTAATAACCAGGTGAGCCAGACAGGAAGTCTGACATGGAATGAATAAAGTGGATCCGGTATATTTCATTATAAGAGTCAATGCACAGATCAATCCTACACAAATCAAGGACTGCTGCATGGCAGCTGTTTGAAGAGGATGATGAGGGGACATGGTATGTGTGAAGCCAGCTTTGTTCTTTTTTCCCCCTTGGATTTGCACTTTTTTTGTCTCTAATTTAGTTACCTCTGTGTTAATTATTCACTCTCCTCCCCCAGCTGGACCACATTCCCTTGATTAACTCACCTGGATTGAATGCCATTATCCACTCCTCCCTCAGTATAAAGTCTAAGGCAGTAATGTCCAAATTCGGTCCTCCAAGGCTTCTGTCCAGCAAATTTAACAAGGTGTTCCTTCTTTAGAACAGCTGATTTCCATTGATAGCCTATTAACAGGCTTCTGCTGAACTGCAATCAGTGCTGAAGCTGATATACATCTGCTGAGTTCGAATTCAGCAGCTGCATCCTCAGTAGGCCAGATTCGACGGCTGATTACGACATAGCGCTACCGAGGCCTTTTAGGATTGGACTCCTCGTTATGCGGCCACCAAATGCAGACTTCTTTCTGCCTATTTTGAAGGATGGGTCTGATGTATCCTACTGTACATAGCCTTTGGTATCCTGTGAATCATTGCGAAACCAAGCAAGCTGGCTGCTCCGTGATCAGTGGAAAGAGGTACTTGGTGCCGAAACAGTGGTTAATATTGTAAGTACAGTTTATTAAAATACAAGTATGTGAATTGTTCCGTCTGAAATTTATGAAATTACTTGTTTTAAATGGTTATTGAATCAAATAAGGGGCATGTTATGTTTGGTTTATTGAAAGGTTTTATCTGTCCCTTTGCAAATGGCTGCCATTTAAGCACAGATTACAATATATCTGCAGTTTGGGGACTAAAAATCTGATATTCATGTCAACAGTACTGCTGCTAAAACTCCTTTGAAATGTTATCAGCAACCAGAACAGTAGTGAGAAATTTGGTATCCATTCTTTGCCTGCTTTGTGTGTTAACTATAAATGTTGCTAGGCGACAGAGCACACTGGCAGTGAAAGCTGGAGAAGGATCGACCTGGAGGACTGACTTTGGACGTGCATGCTTAAAGGTCCCTGATTTTTTTATTGTTCTTTACAGGTTTCTGTTATGATCTTTTTGCTAATGATTTGCCTGATTACTCATTTCCTCCACCTATCTAGTTCCACTCAGTTTCTCATTAGCGTTCATCTGATCTACTTGCTCCATCTTCTAACCTGCCTACTAACAGTCATCAGGGCCAGATTATTTGAGCCCTTGGTGAGTCTTCCAGCATATCTAAGTGTTGTCCAATTGCCTGATCCAGACCTATTCTACACTGTTTGCCTGACCTGTCTTTTGGACTCCTGCTGGATTCTGCCTGTTTACCAAACCTGGAACTGATTCCTGACACCGTCCTGGATTTCCCTTCGGTACCTCTTTGTATCCCTGATCTCTGGCTCTGACTCCTGAGCACCTCTTTGACACCAGCTTTGACTTTGCCCTCTTGATAATCTTGCCATCCTTTGTCTGCTGGGTTCTGATCTCCTGCCTGTTCTAGCTGACCGTGTCTTACAGCCGGCGAGCTAGAACAGGCCCCTTGTTTTGTTTTTGATTTTCTTTTTTATTAAAAACTGTTTATTTCCACGGTTTAATCTCTGCATTTTGGCACTTTATTAATCCATAAACATGACTTACTCCCTGAAACTCAAGAGTCAAGATGAAAAAGATTTAGCATAATTAAGAGCAATGGAGGGCCCACCACAGTGCCAGCCTTTCACTGATTGGAGGGTCATGAGGCCATGAGGCCCAAAACATTGAATTTGAGGTTTTTTGGCAATAAAATGTATTGCATCCATCAGCAGTCTAATGATCGCATCATTCATATACCTACAATAAACTAATTGCAGCTATGGCAGTGTTGTTTACAGTTTTGTTTTGGTATGTTTATAGACGACTACGTGACTAAAAGTAATACAATAAACCAGTGTCTTGTGGTTATCTTTTTGTCATTTTTCTGACAATAGCGGGGGTATGAGAGAGGGGGAGAGACATGCGGCAAAGGACCATAGGTTGGATTCGAACCCGGGTGGGCCGTGTTGAGGACCAAGGCCTTCGTACATGGATCGTGCGCACTAACCACTGCACAACCTGCACACCCTGGTAAGTGTTTTTTAATTAAATGTCAGTTTTATTTGAATATGCTTTACTGGAGACATCCATGTTTTTCAAAGAACACTGCTTCTACTTATTGGTTTGTGACATCACGGTGTGGTATCGGCTGTTGATTGAGTCTGTATCTGGTGTTTGTCACAACGCGCTATTATTCAAGTCATCTTGAAAACGTTATTATTCGAAATGTTGGCTACATATTACGTGTTTTTTTTCTCTGGCCAGAAGTTCAATGGCAAATCCTCCCTCTTCAAGTTGGCAATCCAACGACGAACCCGTCCATGCAGGATCATGACTCGGAAAGTTGAAATAAATAGCCATTTTTTTTTTTTCAGTTTTACCCAATGCATTACAACATCCAACTGCCATGCATGTTGGATGTATTCTCAGAATAGTCTGAGAGTGAGGGTGGAGATGGGGCCTAGGTGGGGGAAAGTTTGCCTGGTAATGGAAGGGGATCTTGAAAGATGATTGGTTTCGGAGGAGGTGCAATCCCAACATCGACAGGCTAAGCTGAACGAGGGACATCTTAGGTGGTTCTGGTGAGCTTCATAAATCCTCTGTGGAAATCTTTATGGTGGGATTCTCACCTTACTAAGGCTCACATACTTCACCACAATATCCAAAAATCTTTGAAAAAGTCAAGCTGCAGCTTCTGCTTTACAGTTGACCTTATATACAGCACAACAGTGGTAGTATCTTGTCAAGGGTAAAGTTTACA